AAATCCTACTCTCTATTATTCCCATTAATTGCAAAGGTAGCACATTAGTATTATTGCATCTCAAAGGGGAAAAATGTACCGATCATCATTGTTGAAAATTGAGATCCAACAACATGAAATGCAGCGGCAGTGCCGCAGTGTGGCAAAACGTATCAAGAATTTTTTGTGGCAGTGAATAAAAAACACAACACACAGGCTCTTTGATGCACACAAACACACACACACCCATGCTCACTCACAACAGTTTACACATCAATAAGAGAAACACCAGAGGGACCGACCAACCGACCGATCGAAAGAAGAGTTGCACTTAACAGTACTGAATTGAATGTTAACACATAAAACCGACAACAACAACAATACCAGCAGCAGCAATAATAACGACGAAGGCACACCAACCAAACACAACACAACAAAATAAAGTAGTGTAAAGCCATAATGTAGAAAGGAAAAACACAATGGGAGCACGAATAAGCGAGCGAACGAACGAGCGACAAATGCAATAAGCACCCCTTCTTCTTCCTTCCGCCTTAACACGGCTGACAAACAGACTGCCATTCAGACAGTCAGCCAGCCAGCGAGTCAACCAACCAACAAGACAACAACAACAGCAAATATCTCTGTGAGGAAAAAGTTGTTGGTGTACAATTGAAAAGTCTATTTTGCTGGTGCTGCTGCTGGTAATACTCGTCGGCAGGGCTGCTCTGACGGTTGTGTTGTTTTTGTTGTTGTTATGGATTTCCTGTCTAATTACTTTAAAGAGGGAAAATGTGAACACGGCATAGGACGGACAAACTGACATATGAGACAGACAAACAACAACAGAAGAGGGAAGAATGTATGAAACATATAGTAACGGTTTTGATGACAATAAGCCCAATCTTTTTTTCTCAATATTGAACGAATTTGTTTTTGTTTTTTTTTTTAATTAATTTTGAAACAACTCTAAAATGTTCCAAAATTTGTTTTATGACTACTTCATCTCAGCAAGAGAGGTGGGAGGAGTACAATATGATTTATTAAATGATTTCAAGAAATGTAGAAAAATAGGAGAGAACTAACACTCACTGATTTTGGTGGTTCTTCTCTTTGGAGTTTTCTTCAACCATCCAACCAACCACACACACACTCAGCAGGAAAAGAAACGTCAACGTTTTTTTTTCTTTCCTTACAGTTTTTCCCAACTATTTTTTTTTTTTGTTTAGTTTGTGTTTGGCAATAAATTATTATTTGTTTGGCATTTTGCACGGAAATTCATCGGAAAGATTGTTTTTGTTATTTTTTCTTTACATGGAATTTTAATCCAATTTTATTTTTTGTTAATTATTTTCTTATTTTATTTTTTGTCGTTTTTAACACAACACATTTCTGATGTAGACACACATGCACAGAAACATCTCTTTTTCACGCACACACAAACAAACACCACACCACGGGCATATGTACACGAAATACATTAGCAGCAACAACAACACAACACAAAAAAATAAAAGCATGAAGTCGCGTACGAGTTTTTAACATAGACGAAGAAGAAGAAGCAGCAGCAGAGAACATACAATTTTTTCACGTCTTCTTTCTAATCACCAATTATCGCAACATGTTTTTCATACTTATTTTGTGATATTTTCAATAAAATTTGTATATTCTTACATGCACACAATATTTAACGTTCGTTTTGCGTTAATTTTTTGTAAAAAATTATTAACAAAATAGAATAAAAACCAAAAAATGCGGAGCACAACTTATAAATTTGTTAGCAGACACACACGAACGAAACGACGACGACAACGATGAAGAAAAAATCTCATAAAGTGTTGCCATATGTGTGCCGACTGCAGGCTGCGCTGCATTCGGCGTGCAGCCAAGGGAATTTTCTCACGCGGTTACAACAACAACTCGTGAGAAATTTCCCATGAGCGTGGGAAAATGGAAATAAAAAATGGTATTTTTTGTCGTTATTGCTGTTGCTGTTCGCTCGCTTGCTTTTGTTGTTTAATTCATCTTCCTGCTATGGAGCGGCCATTCTTCTTAATATTTTTTTTTTTGGATGATGATATTTCACATACACATATATCCATTTGTTAAAATCGTTAAGTGAATTTATTTATATTTACTTCTTTTTATTTTTTATATTTTTGTCTTGTATTAAATTAAAATGTTTTCAAGTATTTTGCATTGACATTAAAACAAAAGGTGTAATAGGAAACTGGTTGCTAGTCAATTGGAAATGATAACACATGATATGTCATTTTTCGAGGAGGGAATCAAAACAACCAACAGAAAAACCAGGGCTTTAGAAATCGATATCGATTGGAAGTCGACGAGGATCATCACAAGCATAAAAATCGCATTAGTCCTGATTTATATTAGGCGAGTTTACTTGCGGCAATTTTAATCGTTCTCTTTTGAACTTGCTCCATGCGTCTATACAAGGCAATTCGGTTTCCAAAATATTCTTTTATTTGTTGTTTTTTTTTCACATTTAAATATATATAAAATGTCAACAAATATGAAATACACAAAACGAATTGCCAGAAAATTGTCGGTACGAGCAATTTTTTTCATTTCTATACCCCTTGCCCCTCTCTCCTACAAACAAAGACTTGCCGCAAGTAAACTCGCCTAATCTAAATCAAGACTTAGTAATTAATTATTTTTTTAAAATGATAATTAATTCTACTTACCTCCACTGCAGAAAATAGAGACTAGAATATCATAAGCCTTTATTTTCTTTTGCTGTAAAAATATATTGTTTTTGTTGCGACGAATGCACAAAAAAGAGAATATAAAACAAACTCTATACCTACTAATAAATGGAGTAAAGTGACTTTTCCATAAGGAAAATTTTTATTTGGCAAATTCTGAGTTTGTTGGCGAGAGGGGTGCGAGGAAGTGAAACAAAACTTTGCCTGTTCAGAATGTGCGGTACACGCAACTGATGGAGTGTAGAATAGATGTTACAAAGGAAATTAACATTACCGTAGGATAGCGATGTGTAGGTAGTTTTGGAGATTTGTAACTGTATGCACGAAATGGTATCATATTTAGTACAATTTGGATTTGAAGGAACCGATAGAACTGGAACAATGAAATTTGGAAATAAGATTACTGCAGCATTGTCGAATTGAGGTATTTTGGTAGATTGGGAAATTTAGCATGAAGTTTGGAGTTAGGATCAATGTTGGGGTGTAGGATTCGGGTATATAGGAAGTTTTCTACTAATGTGTACTAAATTTGGTACAATTTGGATTTAGGTGAACCGATAGAGCTGGAATACTGAAATTTGGAAATAAGATTATTGTTGGAGTAGGATGAGGGTGAGGATGTAGTATTGGAATTTTTTACTTATGGGTACTAAATGGTACTAAATATAATAAAATTTGGATTTAGAGCTGGAATAGTAAAAATGTTGGAGTCTAGAATTGAGGTATGTACGTAGTTATGTGAATTCGTACTTATGCGTATAAAATGGTACTAAATTTGGTACAATTTGAATTATGGGTGAACTGATAGAGCTGGAATCCTCAAATTTGGAGTTAGGGTCACTGTTGGGGTGTTGTAGGATTGGGCAATGTGTACTAAATGGTACCAAATTCGGATTTGGGTAAACCGATAGAGCTGGAATCTTGATATTTGGAGTTAGGATCACTGTTGGGGTGTAGAATTGAGCTGTATAGGAAGTTTTGGAAAATTGTACTAATTGGTACCAAATGTGGTGTGAGCTATATAGGAAGAATTGGAAAAATTTGCTAATGTGTACTAATTGGTACCAAATGTAAATTTGGGTAGACCGATAGAGCTGGAAAATTGTACCAATGTGTACCAAATGTGGTGTGAGCTATATCGGAAGTTTTGAAAAATTGTACTAATGTGTACTAATTGGTACCAAATGTAAATTTGGATAGACAGATTGATATCGAATCTTGAAATTTGAAGTTAGAATCACTGTTGGGTTGGGTGTAGGATTGGGAAATGCAGAATGTTTTGGAAATTCATACTAATGTGTTCTAATTGGTACTAAATTTGGTACAATTATATTTGGGTGAAGCAATCGGCAAGGAATCCTGAAATTGGGAAACATGATTGTTGTTGGATTTTTTTATTAAGGTGTGCTAAATTTGGTAAAATTAAGATTTGGGTTAACCTCTAGAGTTCGAGTCGTGCAATTTGGAATTAGTTTTGGTGCCACATGAAAATGAACTCGATCGAATATGTCTTTATTGCAAGATGTATTTCTTGGCCTACCTCAATTTTAGGAAAAAAAACAAACAAAACATTTTGTAAAATATATTTTTTGGTTTCATTTTTATTTATTATAATAAATACAAAATAAATCAATATTTTCAACACATCACTCACTCTATATATACATTCTATTCATCTTTTAAAGCCACATAGTGAAAATTTGCTTATTTAAAAGATAAATTCTTAATATAGGTGCGCGTGTTTTCCTAAAATAAAAAAGAAATAAACAAATGTTGAAATTTGTTGCAGTCATAATATTTACACATTTTCATTAATGTAAAATTTACCATTTTATTAAAAAAAATCTAAAAATTACTTATACTGCATCGAAGAAATGAAAAATTAAAAATCGAGCAATGAGTAAGTTCTTCTGTTCATCACAACTTATGATTAATCGGAAATAACATAAAAAAATAAAACTGAGATATAACTAGCATACATATTTGAAAATTTATTTCATATTCCAAAGAAAATCACAGAGGCTAAGTTAAAATTTGTACGATTTCTTAAGAATAAAAAAAATAAATTTTAAAATAGGTATGTCTGTCTGTCTGGCGTGGTAAGGTAATTATCGGATCGAACAAAATTTCATTAACTAAGACATCTCTTTTTTCGTTAAATTCCCCGGAAATGTCACGGTGTCTACATGTACACGTATCTAAATGTATATAGAGTAACTTAATAGCTAAGTTATAGGATTTTTATGCTTGAAAGAAAAACAAAACATAACAATGGATTGCTGACTAATTTCACTTTTATACAAATTGTTCTTGACTATTTGCCGATAATTCCATTAGCCTCCAGGCAGCTTTGGGATTCAATTCATTGGGATCCCGACACAATACCCAAACATAATTTACACGCATCACTTTTTCGGGATCACCTTCAACAACTTTATTGGAACTGCGCTCTCGCACACACATAATCTGTTGAGCCTGGAAGGTAACAATGAGTACCGGACCTTGATCCATAACTTTGCCCATTGCCAAGTCGATATTTTCAATATCCAAAATTTTTGAATCCAAATATAAACCAGCCTTTATTGCTTGACTTATTGGCGTGGAAATGATATTGAAGGTACTTTCAAAGCACCAGTCTTTTAAGATTTCCAAATCACCACGTACCATAGCCTCGAGGATATTTGGTATGATGTCAGTTTCACAATCTTTCAAAAATTGTTTTTGATCGAAGTTGGGATCGATTTTACACAGTTCCGTCAGTGTTTCGGAAAGTTCAGTTTTCGAGAATAGGCCACCCATTACATCGGAAACTTTGTCGGTCAAAAGTCTGGATGCACGAATAACGGGATTTTCCGACTCCTCATATTTCATCTTCCAATCGAGCACCTTGTTCACATAGGCGTTATTGTTTTTGAAATTCTCCCAGGATTGATAGAATTTCGAATCTTTGTGCAATTCCATACCCATAGCTTCCATGTTGGGCTCGACAACACGTTCATCGTTAGCCAAATCGACTTCTTTACGTTTACGTAGACGAGCTGGAGATCTATATACACGGGAATTAATGCTTTGGGCATCCATTTCTTGTTTAATCATTTTCGTTGTATCCGATATAGCCTGGAAGGCTGTAGTCTGTCCGATTTTTTCACCCTTTTCTGATATGGTTTCTTTGGCAGTTTTTGCCTTCTGTGATAGTTCTTCGCCAATTTTTGATGCCTTCTGACCGATTTCCGTTTTCACAGCTTCATCGAGTACATCGGAAACCTTTTCCTTGATGTTTCCCAATTGATCCTTGAGTATGCTCGATGTTTTCTGAGTTTCCGATTCAACGATATTGAACTTTTGTCGGGCCGACTGTAAGGCTTCGGACTGTTCCAACTTTTGGGCCTCCTCACGGAACTTCTTAATGCTTTCTTTCATTTCCTTGTTCTTGTCCATTTCATTTTTGATATTGTCAATGAATTGCGATAAGAATCCAGGTCTTCGGCCGGGTTGAGAATACCAGCGCTAAGATAAAAGTGGAATAATGATCAAAAAGGATAATTACTGCAAAGAAAACCCTCCCATTGGAATTTTCCATGGGTTCTAACAGGTGTCCCTCATCATGTTTCCAATGCCGATCTATTAAATGTACTTCAACTAGTCCTTACCTGATTTTGCAGCACCTGCAAACATTTGTTGCCGACCAAAACAGCATTGCCACTTCTCGATATAGCCACAAATTTGTACTGAAATGAAGAAAGAAAAAAGCACATTCTTCATTACTATTGCTGGCCATGAACTATGATGTCCGACTGTTCATAAATATATTTCGTATTGTTAACACATAATATATTTATTTTTTAATGTTTTTCACATACAAATCATATATTTATTACTCACCATTTTATAAATTTATATTAATTGTGTATTTTAATATAAGTTTTCTGTTAGTTTTCCGGTTTTATTCACTTATAATATGATGTATTTATGTAATTTATCGGTTTATTCGCTCAGGAGAGTGTATCTTGGTAAATCATGCCTGTTTAGTTGTCATTTGGCTGTCAGACTACTGCTAACATCTGATTAGAAAAAATGACAGCAGCATAAGATAAGGGTGTTGAGCTAAATCAAAGCGTTGGCGATTGACGGCAGTAGAGTTACCCACATTATAGAGTTTTGGGTTAAATCAATATTTTTAGTGAAAAATGGGAAATTAAATTGTAGGGAAAATACAAAATTCTGAAAACCAAAAAAGAAAACTGAACACATGATATGAGCAGTGCTGCCAGTTAAATTTCATGAAAAATCGTCAATTTTTCAGAAAAAAATCGGCATAATCGGCATTTGTATTTTTAAAAATCGGCAAAAAATCGGCAGCATATAATTTATAAATAAATTCATATTTTTTTGGTTAAATGTTTTTTGTTTTTGAATGGCCCAGTAAGTCGCATTTTCCCGAACTAGCTTTCAACTGCACGTTGCACAATTTACCAAAGAAAAAATTGTTCCTCATTTCTGCCCAACACTCCGTATCAGAGTCAATCCATTGTGATTTCTGCTTACGTCATGTGTGTTGTTCCTGCTGGACACTTGATGCACAACGATTTTCCTCGTCTGTGTTGTTTTCTATGAAAAATCAACAAATCAACACATGTATCCATGGTATAATAATAAAAGGTAACAGCAAGTGCTGTTGTACAAAAAACGATACAACAACCACATGGAAATTTGTTGTTGTAAGTTCTACTAGTGTCAACTCATTTGACAGAAAAATGCAAACAAACAAACAAATTATCATCAAATTATTTTTATTTTGAAAATGGAATATTTTCGAATCCTCAAAATAAAAATTGAAAAACATGAATGAAAATCTTTCCTTTAATTGAGCCATTGCCATATATATGTGTAACACATATGACAATGCTGGGAATAGCGAGTAATTCCTTCAAGAAAGATTTGCTTCTTCAAACTTTCCCAGCAGGCAGATTGAGTAAATTGAATACGGGAGCACATTTAATAAAGAACAATTTCAAATTGTATGCGTTCCCAATTTTCCTGTTGGGTGATTTTTAAAAACATAATTTGTCAAATTTATATTGACACTAGTATTACGCTGGAATCAAATCAGCTGGGATTTGCTGTTACCTTTTATAATTGTACCATGACATGTATCTTAGACACTATTGGTCTGTTCCCGTACTGCAAAAATCTACTCGGAGTAAAAAATAGTAGATTCTTGCAGTACGGGAACTATGGTCTGTTCCCGTAAATACCTTTTCGTTTTGTCAGGTATTTATCCATATTTATAATTAAATAAATTAACTTTATAGAATACACCACCAATTTGATACGTGTGCGCACTTTTTATTCGTTTATTTTTAATTTTGCCTTATTCGATGCAATGCTGACAAAAAATGCAGATATCTAAGCCATTGAAAACGGCTGCGGCGAGTCGCCGATAGTTATAATGATGTAAAGCTGCCAATTTTATATGTTTGTATGGTAACGCCGTTGAAATATCGGAAATTCTGAGGCAAAAATCGGAAAATCGGCATTTTCCATTTTTAGAGTGAAAAATCGTCAAAATGCCGATAAATCGGCAAATATGGCAGCCCTGGATATGAGTACATTTCGAAGGAGGATATTTTCATTTACATTTTGAATGTAGTCAAAACTAAAATTATGAGAATACCTTGTGTAATTATGCCCTGTAGAAATATAAGCAATATTGGTATACTTGTATGGTAGTCTAAAAACGGTACGCAACAGTCACAATTTTTGGTACTTTGGGCTCGGGTTTTTGGATTCTAGAAAGTCTCCCTACTAGGTTTCTAATGATGTTGTAGATTAAAGCAGGTTCCATATTTGAGAACGAAGTTAGGGACGGTGGAAAGTGAGCACCCACTAGTCTTTGCCGCTTGTAAGCCAGAATTGGACAGTGACACAGAAGATGCTCAATTGTTTCCGTCTCCTCCCCGTCAACGCAGAGTCTAGAGTAATCTATTGCATCAAGATCCCATTTACTAGTAAAGGCCCTGATATTGAAATGACTCCTGTCATTACTCTAATTTCAGCTTTGCTCAGGTTCAACAGTGTGTTTGTCCTCTTGGTTGACAGAGTCGGTCACATAGATCTTGACAGATTGCAGATTCATTGGCTCGTTCGTCAAAGAACGCCTCAAAGTTCCAAAAGAGATGACAGATGGGTAGTTTGATTGGCGCAATCGATTTCTAGATCTGTAGATTGAGATTATCGTCTAGCTAATTGGTCTGCTTATTCATTATCCATGATGTCACGGTGTCGTGGTACCCAACACAGCCGATAACTGTAAGTGTGTGTTTCTAAAACTGCTCTACACTCGATGATAACCTCAGATTTTATATAACAGGATTTGATGGCTTTAAGAGCCGCCTGACTATTCACAAGAGTAGCCTGACTATTGCCTGTACCGCAAATTCTGAACAGGCAAAGTTTTGTTTTTCTTCCTCGCACCCCTCTCGCTTACAAACTCAGTATTTGCCAAATAAAAATTTGCCTGTGGAAAAGCAGACTTAATTATTTTTTAAGAGAAATTTTGCCCATCATTGATTTAAACCGCTACAGTACTTACATTGAATACCCCTAATGATATTATAGCTGTTTGAAAAAAACTTCATTTCAATGATTTAGGGATATTTTAAATCGCCACATGCAACTGGAAAATACGCCAAATTGTCAACACTGTCTACAAGTGCAGTTATAATTTCCCATTTGAATGGAATTTCAATAAATTTTGATCAGTCCGGGATTACTTTGCAAACGAGACGAGCGCACGGTGATAATTTGGATTATAGAAAATATAAATTAGAACTGCGCTGAATTCATAAAAAGGGGCTATAATTCCAATCCCCCAAAAAATTGATTAGAATTTAGCAAAAACCCAAAAAAAACTATTAAATTTGTAAAAATCATTTTGAATTCATTTAAATTAAATTTCAATTGTTGTTGCTCAAAAATATAAAAAAGATATAATTGGAATTGTTGTAAAACAGAAAGAGGAGTACTGAAAAGTAACGGAGATTTTGTTCTTGGAATTCTTTTAAAGTTCGTAGAATTTTAATGCAAAATAACGACATGTACCGTAGCAGTCCCGAGTCAAAAAAGGTAAGCATGATATGATGGAACTTGTCTTTATTGTTGTTGATGTTAGTTAATTCATGAACAGTTATGTTGGAATATTTAATTGAATGCGAATTTGGTTTTTATTTTATTTTTTAATTATTAGCAACAACCCGAAATGCTGGGAAATAATATGCTTGGATTGGATTGCCTACACATGAAATGTTTCCAAGAAATGTACTTGGATGCATGCAATAAATTGTGTATATCTCCCACGCCATCTATGGCTTCCATGACCGATGGTACAACCTCATCGGGAGTATCATCATTGTCTCCAACACCCAGCATGTCGAGTTCGTCGTCATCCTCGCCAGAATTCGAGAATGGTGGGGGAATGATGACACCGGATTTGGCTGCATCTCTTTATGCCTTGCAACAACAACAGTTATTAGCAGCTTACCATAAGCAACAACAACAATTGGCAGCATCTGCTGCCATTGCTAATCATTCTAATGATGGACAACAGCAGCAACAACCACAACCACCAATAGGCACTGTCATTGGTAATAATGAGAATATGTCACAACAGCAGCAACAGGATGAAATTTGTAAATCATTGCAAATGTTTGCTATGTTATCCGCCTATTCAAATGAAAAAGGTTATTATTTAATTTTTTAATTTAATTTTGACTTTTGGCGAGAGATTAGGTTTTAATATTATTTTATTTTTCTTGTCTATATTTTTTTTTTGCAACTATTTTTAGATCCATCTGCTGGCGGTGTTGATGTACAACAATTACCAAAATCTCCAGTCGATGATGTAATGAATGACTTTGCCTGTAATGGTTACGTTTGTGATGAACTTAATCGTTATCATTTGGGTTTACATTTGTCTAATGCGGCAGCTGCCGCTGCTGCAGCAGCAGCAACATCGGGAAATAATATTGTTGCTGGAGGAGCCATTAACAATCCTAGCCTCTTGACAGCAGCTGTTCATCATCAGCAACAGCAGCAGCAAAATGGTACCAATCCAACATCCCCTACCACCACAAATCCCAATGTTGCTGCCTTGACACCACAACAATTGCAGCAACATAACATCAACATGAGTTTCAATCATAATTTTTGGAAAATTCTACCGGCCCATATGCAGCAACATTCACAAGCGGCCGTTACAGCAGCGGCTGCCGCTGCAGCTGCCGCCGTCAACATTGATTACAACTGTAATCAAAATAAGAAAATGCAAAAGCGTTACAATGGACCGAAGAATGAGAAATATGTAAGTAAAATGATTTTATCAATCAGAATAGGAGAACCTAAAATATCTAATTAGAACATGTTATAAGTTTATCAGAACATTAAAATTCAATTTTGATAATGATTACAAGGACCATATTGCAGGAGATCTTTTATTAATTCTTTTTGTTTTGTATTTAAAGTTGTCCTCGGAATGTTGTCGAGTATACTCCGAAGGTTATTTGACCGCTATATCGCCATGCACATTGAAAGGTTTTACAGGTTTAATTCTATTTTCTCCAAAAACATGATTAAATCATGTGTTTTATCAAATCCATATTTGTTAATTAAATCCACCGTGGATACTGAATTTTGAATACTAAACTTCTCTCATGTGTAAATTTTTTTAGACAACCGTATTAATTTATCAATCAAAAAATTACCTTTTACATTATTTTTTTATTGCTAGAAATCCGCTTAGACTATTAGTTTTCTGATTACAACGGTATTTCCGGAGATATGGCCCTGCGAAATTCTGTTGGGACCCTTTTATGTTCTCATGACTTTTTTTTTTTAAATTTACTAAGGCAAGGTACCAGATGGTGTGGACCAATGGACTAGATCTAGGTTGGGTAATGATAATAGGTTGTGCAAAGTTTGATTCAAATCGGAAAGTCCTTTACTTTGCTGGCTTGTTACAGAACGGTTGTGCCCGGTCTTGTGAAAGACTACGTTCCAAGACGTCTTCTACTTGGTCTTTCCATCTAATTCGTGGCCTTCCCCTTCTGTGTGAACCATCAGTAGGATAGGGTGTCAAATGCGGCTTTATAGTCGACGAATAGATGGTATGTGGCGATGTGTTTTTCGTGGGTCTTTTCCAGGATTTGGCCAGAGTGATAATCTGGTGGATTTGCCAGGTCTGAAGCCGCATTGGTATGGTCCAATAATGTCATTGACCATTGACTTCAGTCGTTCACACAGCACACTGGATAGCACTTTATTTGCGATGGGAAGGAGAGTTATTCCTCTATAGTTGGCACATATCGTCTTGTTTCCTTTTTCCAATCCTGAGGTACCAATCATTGGGGATGTATTCCTCTAGCCACATTGTACCAATCAGCTGGTGCTTGCTCCTGGCCAGCACCAAAGCCTTCGGACCTCATGCTGACTCCTGTACATCTCGATTTGCTCACGTGCACGTTTTTCTTGTTCTTTCTTCTTTTTTCTGAAAATACTTTTCTCCTCTCTCCTTTTCTCCTGATATTTCTACATCGCATTACGTGTTGCTACTGTCTGCAGGGTTTTGCCCTATACGCTACGTTTTTCACATCAGTAGCATTACGACACTCCTGATCGTACCATGGGTTTCTTGAATGTGGCTTTTGTACCCAAGTGTTGCTATTGCTGCAGTTTGTACGGAGTGGGAAATTCTTTGCCATTGTGCTTCTATACTATTATCGGGAAAAGAAGTACTTTCGTCAAGCAGGTGGGTAAGTTGAGAGGAGTAAGCCTCGGCAACATGTTGTGTGTGTATTGAGATGCTTGACTACCAAGTATTTTCTGGGGGACCGAAAATAATTTCCCTTCCGATTTTTGCATTGAAATCTCCTAGCAGAATTTTAATGTCATGGCCAGGACAGTGGTCATATGCAATTTCTAGGCGCTCGTAAAAAATTGCATCTTTGTCTTCCGTCGGAGCATGGGCGCAAATAAAACTGATGTAGAAGAATTTCGCTTTTATAAGGATTATAGCAATTCGCTCATCTACTGAAGTGAATCTGGAGACGAGGTCTTTTATTCTCCTTTTAACCATAGATCCGCAACCAAATTCACGTCATTTCATGACCCAAGAGATTTCTCCCTATCGAGTATCCAGAATAAGGCTGATAATCTTTACAATGACGCCCATATTATCATACGTTGGACTTCACAGAGAAGACCAATTGGTCTTCGCAGAGAAGGCCCAATTTGTCAGAGGGTGAAAAAATCCTGACAGCTTATATGCCCATATTTTCGGAGATTGAAATCAACAACAATATCATTTCACCAGACGGTAGGTTAGTTGTTGTTGTAGCAGACCTATTGCCCTTTTACTCAATGGGATGAAATGACAGACGATGACCGAGTAAGACTCGTGTCGTTTCGGATCGTAGACCCCCCTCTGTCGTGAAAACGACGCTAGGTAGGTTAGTAGTCTAGAATGATGTATGTTGTGTTTTTTTTTTTTAATTCGTTAAGATTATAAGATTTTTTATTTGAAATACAACATACTATAAATAATTTCCATTTTTCCCATTTTCCAGTCATCGGCAAAACATTGTGTTTTCTGCGAAAACAACAATGAACCAGACGCTGTTGTCAAATCTCACGCCGTGCGTGACTCAATGGGCCGTGTTCTTTGCCCAAAATTAAGAACTTATATTTGTCCAATTTGCAAAGCATCCGGCGATAAGGCACATACTGTCAAGTATTGCCCACAAAAACCCATCATTACAATGGAAGATGCCGTTAATGCGGAATCGTTTCGTCTATCCAAAGGAACCTATTACAAACAACAAATGAAGGTTTAAATAAAAACAAATTCTCAATTCAATCATCAAATGAAATGAAGGAGAAGGTGGTGAGTTAAATCAATATCGAATTGATTTTATCATCATTGTTTTAAGACAACAACAACAGAATATTATCAAAAGAAAAATTGATAAATTCTCGTTACACACCAACTATCCCAGTTAATTATGGCTGGGAAATAAACGAAAATGTTTTGAAAACATTATACACCATACATGAAGAATTTAATAGAGCGCTTGATGCGCAATCGTTAGATTTATTATCTATCCTATTTATTTAGTAAATAAGTTGATTTGAAATGCGTTTGAAACTCAAAATTTACATTAACTTACAATGTATATTCGCATTATCGAAACTCAATCAAATAATTCAAATTTATAATAACATCATTTCATAAATTAATTAATTCTGAATTTTATTTATCTCTCATATAATTACAATTTTCAAATAACTCCTCTCTCCCGTTTGTTGATCAAATGCTGGAGATATCGATTTCAATATATATAAAATTTTCATTAATTTATTTAGATTTTCAAGTGTTTTTTATGTGTATTCAAAAAAAAAAAAATAATCATTTCAAATAGTTATAATCTTCTAATGATGTTTTGTTTATTACACAATGTTTTTTTCTCGTAATATTTTAAAGTAATTGACATATTCATTTTAATATCTCGTAATTCATTTAAAATTGTTTAACTAAAAAAAAACATTTATCGTATTTAAAAAAAAGAAGTAATTTTGATTTTTTTTATTTAATTTGTATTGAAACTTGCGTTTCATAATTGTCTTTTTAATTTATTTATCTTATCGTATTCGCTTATTCAATATGAGAGTAAAGAATATATATTTTTAATTTTTATAAATATCATCCCACACTCATATTAACATATTGAAATATGTATGTTATATCGATGTGTAATCTTCTCATTACAATTCAAAAATCAGAAATAATCGAACTCTTCTAAAAAAATAAACACTTTTTAACTACATTTTTTAATACAATTATGTTTTATGATCTAAATAAATTTATTCCAAAAAAGTTAATCTGAAAATTTTAGTTTATTTCTTTTATTTTAATTGGGAAATTAATTGCAACAACAAAATATACAAAAGTGGGGTCATATCTCCGGAACTGTTTAACCTCTACCTTTCTGAACACAACCACTGGACGGCATAGAGATCGTAATATATGCGAATGATTGTACGATCATGGCGTCAGTTCCCATTATACATGACATTTCTGAAAGGTTAAATGTCTATATAGCAGATTTAGTATTTCTTCCATCTGATAAATATGTTAAATAAGAAGATCCACAGCCACTCTGTTCACTACAAGGACATCTGCAATGAAGCTCCCTCTGAACATATCATGGTCAATGGTTCACTAATTCCGACCACAAACTACCTGAAAATTTTTGAGTGCAAGCCATGGACCATTTACATGAGGAGGCATTGGTCTCAGCTGTACATCGTCACAACAGGATGTTGTCGATGCATCCAGGGAGAGAGAGAGAGGTCCAACGATATAACACAGACATGAACGAAAGGTATTCACAGAGAAAAAGACCCAAAAGGTCTTCATAATGAAGACCCCAAAAAAGATCCAATAGATCTTCACAGGGAAGGTTCAATAGTACTTTATAAAGGTCGTCATAGGAAATACCTAGAGGTCTTCACAGATAAGACATAGAGGTCTTTACAGGAAAGACCTAGTCATCCTTAAGGAGAGGACCAAGAGCTCTTCACAGAGTAGACCAAGAGATCATAGTAAATACCCATTAGGACTTCACAGAGAAGATCCAATAGATTCTACACAGAGATGACCCAATAGATCTACACAGAGTAGGCCCAAAAGGTCTTAATAGGGAAGACAGGTAGGATATCAAAGATCTCCTTATCGAATCCCAAGATGCCTTTTCATTAAAGAACAATACGAAGACAAAGGCTTATTCATATCCAAAACTAAGTAGTCTTAATATCAAGGACCAAGAGCTATTCTTAACGAAGAAGTCTTCATAACGAAGTGTTCCGAGATCTTCATATTGAATTGGTCTCAAATCCAAGAGGACATTTTACAATAATGTCAATTTTCTTTGCACTTACCTGATTAAGCCGCTAAAATAAACGATGGATCTGGCAGGAGCATTTTGAAATGCTTCTAGTATCAAATAGTAGTGGCGGTGAAGAAGATACCCCAGAACTTAGAAGAGATAACGGAATAGCCAAGATGAGGTCAGAATAACAATCAATCGGCTGAAGAATAATAAAGCAGCAGGTGCCGATGGGTTACCAGCTGAACTATTCAAGACTGGTGGGGTCAGATGCTGATTAGGAACATGATTAGTACAATTTGGCTAGAGGAATGCATGCCCAATGATTGGAACCTCAGCATCTCTGGCAAATCAACCAATGACCAGATTTTCACTCGGCACCAAATCCTGGAGAATACCCACGAAAAAAATACATTGACACATTCCACCTATTCGTCGATTATAAAGCCTCATTCGACAGCCTTATCCGTTCAGTGGTGTTTAAAGCCATGTCTGCGTCCGGCACTCCTGCAAAATTAATACTGCCATGCAGTATATATTTATCTGGTACAAGGTCAGCACTTAAAGTAGGAAAGGACATCTCGGAGCTCTTTAATACAGAATGAGGATTTAGACAAGTTGACAGTGACTGCTGGAAAAGGTCATACGAGAGGCAAGGTGAACCGAAATGGCACTCTGGAACATGAGAACTATAGCTTCGATGTAGTGAACGATATTATATACCTCGGTACCGCCATAAATAAAATAAATGGCATCAGTTCTGAAATTCCGAGAAGGATAGAATAGTTTTGTGTGCCACTATGGTCTATGGACCGATCTGTGTTGAGGGTGTATATCGCCGTCGATATTATCCGTGCTGTTATATGGATGTGTAGCATGGGAACTTGCGCAAGCAGATGAGGCAGTTCTTGGAGTGATTGAGAGAAAATTTCTCCGTAAGATCTATGAGCCGATCTACGTTGAGGGTGAATATTACCGTCGAATGAACCATGAGTTATTCCATTTATTCTCGGACATTGGCATTGCCAGACGTATCGAGCTGCAACGACTACGTTGGCTAGGTCATGTTATGAAAATCGATGATGATGCCCCGGCACAAAAGGCACATAAAAGCGAGCCAACTGATGTCTCACGCAGAAGGGGAAGGCCATGAATTAGCTGGAAAGATCAAGTGGAATAGAACATTTTGGCACATGTTACATACCGACGCGCCAGAACATTCTTTTTTATGTTCGGCTTATGGAAGAAATGTCAAAAGCTAGCTAAGTAAAAAAACAATTTATTACAAATTTGCAACAAAAAACCTGTTTATTCATTATCTTTCGTTTTAATTGCTTCAAATATAGCTATAAATAGTCCATCTGTCATATCCGAATCGGGTCGAGTGTATAGACAATTTTTGCCAATTTTCTTATATTCCTGACTGCCGACATTACGCCATTTATTACGTAATGATTTTTTGGCACTCAATAATTTAAACGACGGATTCAATTGCAAACATCTCTGTACGACCTGCTCATTTTCCTCCTCGTACAGGGAACATGTTGAATAGGCAATACGTTTAACATCGGGAAATGCCGACATGGCATGTGATAACATTGTTATTTGTAAACCAGCCAGTCGTCTCAAACGTGCCGGATCTTTTTCTTCCGAGTGTACAGATATACGATTTTGCATACCCGAACCGGAACATGATGGATCAACAAGAATATATTCAACACCGGGACATTTTTCGGGTGTAATTGTAAGAGCATCAGCATTGATGGGCGTAACAATTTTGCAACCAGCTTTTTCTGTCATGCGGCAGAGGGTTTTATAACGTTCGGAATTCAGTTCAACGGAATAGATAGTACCTTGATTGTTCATAACATTGCTAACGTGTATGGTTTTCATGCCCGGTGCAGCACACATATCCAAAACTGTGGAACCGGCCGGCGGACTAAGGAGTTCTGCAACCAAAGCGGTGCCCTAAAATGGATATGTATTACAAATATTATTTTTCAGTATTTGTATTTATATTCTAGAATTATGGAATAGAAGAAAAAAATCCTCCAGGTGGAAGGTAATTTGCAATGTAGGTCCTTTTTTTAAAAGCCCCCAAGATCTTAGGCTTTCATGATTTAAGAAAGAAGTATTTTTTGTACTGCCCTGAGAATGAATCCCAAAAAATCTTACCCACCTTATCTTGTAGCATAAAATAATTGTCTCGTGCATAACTATGATTGGCCCAATAGTGCTTCTGTTTCGGATGAAATATTAACAAATCATCAATGTGCATATCGATCATATATTCATCTTCCTGTAGTTCCTTTATGGCCTTCAAGAAATCATCATAATTTTCAAATGGTGGATATTCTTTTTTACGCCATTCTTCGCTGGCCAAAAACTCATGGGCCTCTTCAATGCTGAGCAAGTTTCTGTTAATGCGTACATAACGAGGTTTTTGATCTATACAGAAATAAAAAAGAAAACATTTTAATGAGAAATGAGCTGAAACTTTATTTACAATTTTTTAATGAATACAATACAATAATCGTACTTATAAAAATACATATTTTTAAAAAAGGGAATACTTTGAATAGTAAAATTTAGTCGTTCTTCTAGCATATCCTACTGCTGTACAGTATGGGTGGGGTTGCGGGGAGCTATGTTAGCAGTCTATGGCCGAGTAAAACTCTGCTCATTCCAGAGATGACTGGCACGCACTTTAATTAGTTTTCTTGTTTTCAATTGGTGCCGCGCCGCCATCAGAACTATTGTTGCCCGGGATGGGTGTAGTCTTTTCGGTAAAAGCTTTAAACACATACAAACATAGTATGAAATTAACCACCAATACAGAAGCTAAAACTGAAAAACAGTTCGTTTGGAATGTATCAAAGTCAAATGATTCCTGCAACCAGGAACGAACACCATAAAATGTCACAAATGGAAAGGTGAACATCAACACGGAAAATGCCAACAGCCATAGGAAGGCATTTGTACTTCCGTTATCAATTTCAATTGTCGGCGTAACCTCCGGATGTTGGGTCGTCAATTCCTGATTATCATCATCAGCATGTTCTTTAGCCGCCTTCTTAACGTTTAACTTATTTTTACCCATTTCCAATGCCCCTTTCAAACAGACAACAGACAAAAATGAATTATAATGTGCTGCTTGCCTTTTTTATATTCCGATTTGTTAGTTTCGATTGTATCAACGCCCAATGCTTCGGCTAAACGATCTTGGTATGCACGTACTGTCTGTACCGGTTTCGATTCTCCGTTTAACTTTTTCAATCCCAACAGCAGCTCTGTTACAAGAACTTTACACAAAATAGGACACAGACGTGGATTGTCTTGAAGAATTTGAGATTTTTCGATTGCTTCGTCAATGGCTCCTTTATTATCAAAGTATCGTGTTAGAACTGCTTGCATGGAAGGTAAACGCTAAAAGAAGAAACAGAGAAGTGTACAACAAAATTATGATATTGGTGTAATCGTTAATGTGCTGGGGATTGTTTATATTTATTTTTGTTATATACTTACCGCATGTTTTTCATTGAATATCAACGATTTCAAAGATGTTTTACTTTCCAATGCGGTTTTCAATACTGCAGCAACCCGCTTGTATTGCGTTGGAACTTTTATCGAGTGTTGTTTCTTTTCGGTCGACATTTCAACGTTGTTTGGTTTGTTTTCTTCGTGCACGTGACAATTAGGGATGTATAGGTCGACTTTGTGATAATCGATTAATGTGTGAAAATAAACTAACGGCAATGGTGTTATCGTTTTTTTTTACAACCGGAAATGTGAAAACTATTAAATGCATTTTTTTTTCAAATTTTATACAGAAAATAGGTCTTTTCGATCAAATTTCCTATAAGGATGGCAATGAACTGAAATGATCCATACTGTCTTCTTTAATTCTTTCCTGCTTATAGAAATCATGTTTTAGATTTACGCTAATGCGGTGTACACACTAGCATTTTTGAATGGCACTCTTGCCCAAATTTTGCTTTGTTTGCCTCACATGTTTGTCATTCATCAGGCAACCACAAAAATATTTATGGTTGTTGGACAGTCAGTAAAGGGCTAAGCAGAATGCTCGTGTTGAGCCATCGAAAATACAACAACCACAAGGATAGCATAACATTAAAGGGAAGAGCGAAAAAATTCATTTTCATTTTTACAGAAAACTAAATATGTTAGAAGAGCTAATCAATCAATTTAGTACGCATTTTCAAAACCTTGATCGCAATAGAAATCTAAGTCTATACTAAATTTGTATTAAATTTAGTACCATTTATTACACATAAGTATAAGTTTCCAAAACTACGAATCCCAGACTCAAACAATAATCTTAATTCGAAATGTCAATGACCCTCATTCCAAATTTAAGAATTCTAGATAAATCCTGACAAGTCGATAATAAACATCTTGGTTATCGAAAACTAAATTACTCATATATCTCAGCAAAATTCTTATTCGAATTAATGTCGTAATAAAAACAATCAGTTTTTTATATTGTTTTATATAATTATATATTTTTTATTATTAATATTGCAAGTTATGTTTCGAAATGTAGAAAAAAATTGTTTACCAATTTCGTTTAACATAGGTTTTAGATTCTTTTTGTGTGTGTTATTTTTTAGTTTCGTCATGTTGAGTTTATTAATATTGCGCAATGCTAACAAGAAGTTTTTAACTTCGCTAATAAGAAATACCTTTTTTGTTTATATATGTTACTAATAATGTAATATTAATAATTATAATATAATTGAATATTAAATACTTAATAATATAAGATAATGCATTATATCTATTCCATGTTGTAAGTAAAATAAAAGAAGATTTTGTTTTGTAGCGTAAACGAAATATTGGATATTTATTTGTATAGCAATAATGCATTTTTTAAACAAATTAATAATTTATTATATTGTTTCCACGATTGTCTTATTTTTTTAAATTAAATAACTTAACTTAATAATAAATCTTGGCTTTTCCCATTCATGAAAAAATAAATAAATTGAGAAATTAAAATTTAATGTTTTGTTTGGTTTGCGATTTCCAAAAAATTAATTGAGCATTTAGACGTGTGTGTTAACAATGTGATTTTGAATCAACATGGAATAAATATTAATAAACTAATTACAGAGTTGAAATATTAACGCGAATGAACGATATTAAACCAAACGTTAATGGTTTAGTTTGTAATAATGATAATTATTATTCTTTTTTTTTAATTTTTCATGTCCATAGAATATAACATCTATCTACAGTTTCTGTTTAAATATATTGGACTTTTTGCTGTTCCAATTTGTTTGTGTGTTTTTTTGTTCTAAGTGATAAGGGGAAGGTACACCTTTCATTTGTCAAATTGATAAATGTTGTTATACTTTTAAACAAAGGAGGTGAAATAATCAATGAAACTTTTGTGTATATTTGTTGTTAAATCTTTTTTAATGGTAACAAATAAATTATACAACTAGCATGGCAGTTATAAAGGATTGTATGTGATTTCGGCATATTTTTTGGGAAGTCCATTTCTTTTGAATATAATTAAAAATTGTTACATTTTATAGAGAGATCAGCAAATGCTCACAAATTAATATTGCAATTTGTCCGGATATTTAAAAACAAGTATTTTTTATTTTCAAAATTATTGTTATATTATTATTTTTTTCTTCAAAATTACCTTGACAATTTTTGGACCTTTATTGTTTATTCTGTATATTAGAGTTTTTAGGTGTAGCTAACATAATTTGAAAATAATTCAATAATAATAAAAAAAGTCCTAATTAAACACAACCTCACTTTTTGAATTTGTTGTTTTTAGATCTATATATGATATTTTAATATATAATGATATTTTAATAATTATGAAACAATTTCCATATATTAATTTTCCAATCAAAGAGAAAATATATTTAAATTTGAAATGAACAAAAAAACTTCCTAATTTTGTTGTAGTGAGCAGCTAAAAAAGCAAAACAAAAAATCTATAATCATATTATGATTGTAATTATAGTATTTGGAGCGTATTAATTTCTACTTAGGATGAAAGTTTACTAATAAACTCCTCAAAACACTTGCACTATGTAGCGGTTAATGCATTCCATTCGAAACGCGGATTTTTCGAATGTGTCACTGGTAATGTATCTGGTTCAACCAATTTCCATTGGCCATCGATTTCTTCGACATTTGCCAAACTACAATAGGGTATTTTATGTATTACCTGACGCAGTTCATTTGTGTTACGTGGCGCCTCGCCAATTAATTGCCTGGTACATGTATCTAAGGTGGTGGCATGTGCAACAATGAGGACATTACCAGCTGGAAATTCAGTTTGGTGGTTATTGGAATAAATACAGTTCTTTAAGACAGCAAGTATTTACCTGTTGAATCGATAATTTTCCTTAAAACGTCATAGTTACGTGTATAAAATCCCTCTGTGGTCTCTTTAATTGATTCGTTTAGATTATTGATGGTGACAAAGGGTTGATATTCGGTATCGATATTATAGTTAGCCGCTAGCAATTCGTCTTTTGTTAGCCAATCTGGTACACCATCTGGATACCATGCCATCCATTCAAATAGACCAGGTTCCAATTTTATTTTATGTTTTCCCGTTAGCTTGAGACCTGCAAAAAATGAATTTTTTGTTTAACTTAAATTCTGTTCTTAGCCGAATTGTTAGGTTATTAAAATAAAGAAGAAGACACAGTAGATGACAATAAAAAATAGGGTCCCTATAGGTTTAGGGGTCCCTATTATAGTTTAAAGGTATTAGCTTTGTTTGTCTAATTAATTGACTATCCTGACTATCCACAAAGATAGTCACCATTTCAACGACCTCTGCATCAATTCCGCGCTGCCTTCCAAATAACAAAGATTTCAGCTTGGAAAACACTACAGATGCTATTTAGTTTGTAGGTAAGTTCAAAGCCTAGCCTTTCACAATAGACGCCTGCCCCTGTACCTTCTTCCATCTTGGAAGTCTTAATTTCAATATTTTAGCTTCAGCCGTTTCGTATGGTTGATAAGGATCCTTACATACTTTTATTTATATAGATTACCTTCTAAAGCGCTTGTACAGGTCTGTATACAACGATATGCCGGCGAACAATAGACATGATCAATTTGTACCCGGGCATCGTACAGAGCCTCTCCGATTAGGCTGGCCTGGTATAAACCGATATTTGTCAAAGGCGAATCATTAAGCCAGCCATCTGGAATATTGTTTCTAAAAAATCAAAAAAGAAAACAAACAAAAAATGGTATTAAAAAAGAAGAAAACTTTTTCATTTCCTTGTGGTATAAAATCTTACCTTTTTGGCAGCGTTTTTGGCATATTCAAATCTTTGCGCATATAATTATTGAATTCATCAAAACAATATGGTATCCATGTGCCGAATGTAAAATCCACCCTTTCACCATGACGCATTATATAAACACGTCGATTTTTCGATGATAATGACATGGAATTTTCGGCCGAATGTTGACTGAGCGTATCATCCGCTTTGGGTGGAGCAGCTGGTATGGGCTCAACTTTAATGTCACCACTGGCATTTGGCGTTGACATACTATTGGGTGTAATTTCAATAAGGGGTGTGGCCTGCTGTTGTTGATTGCTGGAGTTGTGATTATTTGTTATTGTTGGTATGTCCAAACAGGGTTTTAAAGTTTTGCGTAAATATTTTTCAACACTCTGTTCGGAGTCTTCGTTAAACGATGAGCCTTCTATTAGTTCGGAAGCGTGTATGCCAACTAGAAGTAGATTTTTTTTTATTAAAAATTACTTATATAAGTAATGTGTAACAACATACCCTGGGCCAAATCACGATGTCTCAAATGGTCTTCGGTCTCTGTTGATAAACTGCGTCCATCCACTAAATCACATTCTTCATTTGATGTCAGGGAAGGCGTTATTGATTTTGATAGCTGAACCACACGATGCAAGGTCCATGCATCCGATTCGGCTGTACGTTCGGTATAATTAACAGGCAAATGACCCTGTGCTCCCGTCAACCACGATATACCCTCGGCCCAACCGTCTGAGGAGTTGTCCACTGCGTCACTATTCAAATAGATATAATCACCAATACGCAATTCCAGTTCATCGATTTCATGTGGACTGTGTGGATAGACAACTTTGTGAACCTGTGAAACGGAGAACAAAAAATACCAAAGTTTCATTACATGTCTTTTCATCACATCGGGGAAGAAAAAAGGCTTTGCTTCCTTTGCTGCTTCTCCTACTAGGATAAGATATATAATATAAAATACAAAATAAACAGCAGCAGCAATGACAACAAAATGAATATTTTTATACGTATATAAAATATGTACTTGTTTGGTAGCCAATCTGGGATCACGTGAATATAAACGTAATTCCCAGTTGGAGGCACATGATGCGTCTAGTGATTCCACTAAAGTTTTCAGTGCATTGAATTGGCTCTGCGGAAATTGATACGCTAAAGTCAGGTGCAAGGATTTGACGTGAGGCTCCAACGAAATTGCTATTTATTTACGAAGTTGTTGTTATTGACGTTTGTTTGTTGTTGTTTTGCATCGTTGTATGTAAAAGAAAAAAAAAAAACAGAGTAAAGAAAAGAAAAAGAACGAACAATAATAAAGAATATTTCGTCTTTTGTAATAATTGTAAGCAAAATAATTGCATTTAAAATACTCTATTTATTTGCAAACCACAAATATATTCAAACTATATATTATATATAAACGTATGTTGAAACGCACGCACATATACACAGTGGCAGTTGTATACAAAGAACCAAAAAAGGACAAGCAGGCAATCAGGCGAACCGTAAGAATATCAAATGTGCTACTAAAATGTAATGAAAAGGAAATGAAAAACACAACCCAAATTCTATACTAGATACTACTATTATAACTAAAAACTAAGAAGGAACCCAAAATGTATGTCAAGCAATGCAGAATATATTTTGTGGCGCTGTTGTCGTTGCTTTTGTTGAATAGTATACATTGAGGCTAATAATAAAAACAAAAACAACAACCACATACTGCTAGTTGTTTTTCTTACATGCTTATATTTTTATATATAAATAAGAACTAGTTGTAATTTTTTCCTTTACAATTTTCTATAGTATACGTGTTTACACATACTGAAATGCAATTGTTTTTGGAGAAGATATTGATTAGGGTTTCAATTTAATAAAACATGCACACCATCATTCTATTTCAATATACCGCTAGGAGTTTAAGGATCTACTGAAGTATCTAATAATATATCATACCAACAATTTTATTGCAATTTATTTGAAATTGATAATATCTATTGCGAAATATATATGCTTGAGTCCCGTAATAACTTGTCTTTACTACTGAACGATTTACTTGAATTTTGTTTATTTTATCGTCTATACCCCCAAAGAAAAAAATCATTATCAGAATATTGAAGCAATTTTGGCAAGTCATTTTAGATACGGTAACATTAGAAAACAAAATAGATAACGCGCATTTTTTAACGCCAGATGGTTAATGGTATCCCAAAAATAAAGAAAACCTTTAAAAAAGTTCAGTTGGTGTTGCCGAAAGATATATACCCTCAGAATATGGTTTGCGGAGGGCTTCGGAATTACACACAGGTTTTATTATTCGTATTATATGTATATGTTTTAAGTTAGGTTTAGGGATGTCCAGGTCCATTGTGATCATCCACGAAAACAAAAAGATATGGAAAGATCTATGGGGGGAGAAAAATTTACTGGTAAAGCCCTGCAATTGCAATTATCAGTAATGATTTGTCATTACTCTTATTTCAGCTTTGCTCAGGTTCAACCGTGAGTGTGTCCTTTTGGTAGACAGAGTCGGCCAAATAGATCTTGACACATTGCACCAAGGTTTCTTGTCCCAAAGTTGATAGGCTCTTTCGTCGAAGAACGCCTCAAAGTTCCGATAAAGAAGACATATGGGTGGTTTGATTGAGCCATCAATTGCTAGATCTGTAGATTGAGATCCTCGTCTAGCTTATTCGTCTGTTCTTTCCCATTATTCGTCTGCTCTTGCCCATGACATGATTTCATTACCCGATAGCTGTAAGTAAGTTCTTTCAAAACTATACTACACATGAGGACGGCCTCAGATTTGATGGCTTTAAGAGCCGCATGACTATCAAGAAAGATAGTCACCAGTTCGACGATCTCTGCATCCAGACTTTTTATCAATTCCGCTGTCCTCCAAATAACGAAGATTTCAGTTTGGAAAACACTACAGAACTGGTGATATATAGTCGCTTAGTTCTACGCGTTGGTCCAATGTCATACCTAGTTCGTTCAGGATACATCTATGCCCGTAGCCCGTACTACAAGTTTATCAGCCTTATTCTGGACATCAATTCACCGTGAAGTTATTCTGAACCAGAACTCGCAGGTTTACAGAGAGTGGGAGAATGCGATGACATTTTGAGGGAATTTTTTCGCTAATAAAATTTAAGTGAGCTGACTACAAAAATATACAGCCTTATTCTGGATATTCGCTAGCGATATTTCTCGCATGTAAAAATGTTGCGAGATGCTGATTCGAATTTTCGAAAATGGTGGTTGAAAAGAAGATTCGTGTTGCCATATTGTAATTTTAGTTATGTGTGCTGCCATATTGTAATTTAACTTGTAATGTGTGTTGCCCCATTGTAATTTAATTTTGTAATATTTTTCATTGTTTTTTTATTGATTTTTTAAAATAAAAATTGTTACATTTTATTGTTATTCAAACTTTATAATAATAAAAATGTAAAATATTAAGAATCCGCTGTAAAACTGCTATGTAATTAAAAGAAAATAAATTGAAGTTTGAAAATATGGCAACATGCGTGTGAAACAGCTGTTTGTTTTGATGCAATTTGGTACAACTACAACAGATTACAAATAAAAGAACATTTTTTTGATGATGGTAAAAACCATAAATTATGTCAAAAATACACAACGAATAATGGGAAGAAATCTGCGATTGAATTAAATTAATTTGCAGTTTTTTATTTCACTACAAAAATGTGTGCCGTAAAACTGTACACTTCAGTATATTGTACAAAATTGTGTGCAGGTTGGCCAAACTTTGGGTCTTTAGTGCACAATATACATTAAATCGGACGAAAATATATATGGGAGCTATATCTAAATCTAAACCGATTTTCACGATTTCACACATCATTCTGGGCCTAATTCTGTACCCTGTGCCAAATTTCGTACAAATCGAAAGATATATAGGGACTTTGAAGCGCCATTTACCTTAAATCGAACGAAAATATATATGGAAGCTATATATAAATCTGACCGGATTTTCGCGAAACTTGGCACACTTCATTCTAGACTCAATTCAGTACACCATAAAAAATCGGACAAAACTATATATGGGAGCTATATCTAAATCTGACCCGATTTTCTCGAAACTTAACACACGCCATTCTGGACCTAATTCAGTACCCTATGCAAATCCTTAAATCGAACGAAACTATATATGGGAACTATATCTAAATCTGAACCGATTTTCAGGAAACTTAATACACATCATTCTAGACTCAATTCAGTACACTATGCAAAATTTCGCGCAAATCGAAAGATATATAGGGACTATGGGAGCTATATCTAAATTGAACCGATTTTCTCAAAACTTAGCAAACTTCATTCTAGACTCAATTCATTAAGTTGTGCAAAATTTCTTGCAAATCGAAAGATATATAGGTTTTTTGGTACACCATTTACCTGGAATCGGTCGAAACTATACCTAAATTTGAACTATACCTAAATTTGAACCGATTTTTCACAATTTCAATAGGGTTCGTCCTTGTGCCAAATTAGTGACATGTGCCAAATTTTATCGAAATCGGATCATAAATGCGACCTGTACTTTATTTAAAATTTAACATCTACAGATGAACGACAGGCGGATGGACGGACATGAACAAACCGACTTAGAAAGTGATTCTATATATATTTTCGTTTCTATCTCCTCGTTTCCTTTTGCCTGTTACAAACATATGCACAAAGCATAATACCCTGTATCACAGTGTGGTGAAGGGTATAAACATATTGCTGTGGAACTGGTTATTCGTATCGTAGACTCACACTGCAGGGCGCATATAATGTAAAACTAAAGTTCTGTGGTAGTGGTATAGGGTATTAAATGGTCAGTCCAGTTAATCGAGATGTGGCATTATAATACTAAAAATTGGGTCTAGCGGCGCTATCAATTTGACTAAACACAAACAATAATAATCTCACATAGTTTTGTAATGTATAAAAATCAATGTAAATAAAAAGAAATCAAAGGGAATACCGATAAGTATTCGAATAAAAATATATACCAAAACAATGCAATTATAAAAAAATAAAACTCGAGGGGGTTTCAACTTTATATACAAAGAAATTTAAAAAATATTATTCTGGTGATTATTTTCATGTAGAATTTCTATTGTTGACTCTAAAGAAATTACTAAGGAAAAATTACTGGTAAAGTATACAGACAAATTTTGTAGATGATGAAACAAAAAATATTTACGAAAACTGGATAAAACGTTAAAAATTAGAAAAATATTATCGATATTTAATGCACATCTTGATGTAGATGCATTTGATACAAAACGAAGGGTTAAGGAAAACAAATTTCTAAAAATGGGAAATGAACAGAATCTCTCAAAATTAATCTTATTTTGTGTTACCCTAAGAAAAGCAAAGCAACAAGCCAGCTATTCAAAAGCATTTTTAAGCATTAAATAACTAATTTCTTTTTTTTTAATTACTAAAAGGTAATATATTAATAATTAGAATTAGCTTACAGCGACTGCTACGCGGAATACAACGATTTCCCGAAGAAACCGCACCACACCAGGGAAAACAAGCAACTATTGCATCAAGTTGCTCATATGTATCGCTAATAACTACAATCCGATTTTTTTCATTTGCATTTCAATGATTCCGTTCAGTTATTATTGTCGGCGTTTAATCATGATCAATATGATTACATTCAAATAAGCAAAACCAAAAAAATTAGTATGTATTTGTTATATTCAACGATTATAAATAGAAATGTGGCAATAGAGAGAAATCCATTTGTTTAGCATTTATGAGATATCATCAAACATACATACATAAATGGAAAACACGGAAATAGAGAAAAAATTGGGGGAAGAAACAAAACAAAAAAAGTAGAAAAACCTTTTAATAACGCACCCGTTTAAATTGGTAGTAGTAGTAAAACCATCATCCCACAAAGTTTTAGCAACATATCAGGGGAATAAAAGACAATGAAGGGAACATACTTGAATTGGAGACTTCCTTAACATATTGCAGGGCCAAACGTTTTAAATAGTTTGCATCATCTTCAGCCACAAAGAAACCCATGAAATTTTGACTCATATATAATTCCAATTTTATGGGACGATCCAGAAGTGCACCGGTCATGTCGACAACTTGTTTTAGTGCCTTCGACAATTGCAGTGAACATTCGTCGGGTGCCTGAAAAGCATTGAGTTTTGAATTAGTATTTATTTTTTAAAATATATTAAAATTGTTCTACCTTAAAAAAGGAAACCAATGTTATGTGCGGCACATAGTTGTGGGCTCCATTCCAACCACATAATTGCCTTGATTTTGTCCAAAAATCTTCTAATTGTTGTAGAAATGGTCCGGTTGGACAAGCATAAAGTATATATTCCCGTGGTGTACATTCATCTAGTGTGGTATCATTGACATGGGCCAATAGCCAATCGGATGCTATTTGTACACCACGATTTCCTGTGGAAGCCAAAGCTTTTTCGCTAAAAGAAAAACAAAAACATTTAACATATGTTTATAAAATTATATTTAATTTATATATTTCAATTTATTTATTTTTTTTCTGGAGTTTTATCACAATTCCAATATTAGGAAAATACATTCCGGTTTTCTAATTTCATACAAATTAAACAGTATTTTTTTTTCAAAATATTTAAAATACAATTTAAAAACATAAGAGAAAAAAACAACAACATCCTCTCCAATTGTGTTATCAATGAAAGGTGAATGACACTTATGAGCAAGAAGAAGGCCATTAAAACACACCCGCCCCCACACACAAACATTCTACAAAAAAAAATCAATATCCGTATGGAATCTTAAATAAAAAAAACTCTTTCTCTATTAAACACACTAAACCACTTTTTTATTGTTTATAAACTGTTTACTTTTCATTAATAACTTATTAACTTACGCCCTGTGTTTTTGGAAGCCCATTTGCAATAAGGTCTGGATGGGAGTTAAATGTTGTTTAGATATCCGTGTGGGTGTCGGATTTTTACGTGGCGGCAAGTTAGCCATTTTTATGTTGCGGTATTTTAGAACAGATTCACGTTATTTATCAAACAATTTCAAATTCAAGTTGTGATTATTTTATTAAATTTTACGATTTATTGTGTGCACACAACTGCTAACAGTGAAAATTTGTAAAAACAAACTACACATACACGGTAGGGTTAAGTAAATCGACTTTCGACTAATCGATTAATCGACTTTCTGTATTGAAATGTATAATAGCCGAAGTCGACTTGTGATATCTGAGGAAACCGCAAAGTCCATGGTGCAATTATAAAAGGTAGGGGAGCTTTTGTCAGAAAGGAGGGAAATAAAGAAAACAAATGCAACAAGTCGTTCTGTTCATTTGACATATTTCTAACATTTTACCAAAAAAACGCGAAAAATTAATGGAATGTTAGGTTTTTTTCAAATACTTGGTTTATTGTCAAAAAGCATACAATTCCCAAAAATTACATATTGCAGAACTTTATTTCATCTGATGACAACTTTTCAGGTTTGATAAAATCGATAGATCGAAAAGTCGACTTTAAAGTCAAAGGCAAAAATCGAAAAGTCGAATTTTACTTTCGATTACGTATCCCCATGGTATAATTATTACAAGCTGATTACAATTTTTTTCTCTCAAAATACATTATTTGAGTATGTGTGTGTATTATTTTGAATACTATGTCAAATAAATTCAAAATAAATTGAAACATCTATTTAAATTTAATTGAAATGATGTGCTTTTTTAAACGCGTTCGTCCGGAAGTAATTAATTTGTTATTGATGAAACAAATATTTCATGGTATTCCCTACTGGATTTTGGAAAGAAATCATATCCTTTCATACATTTTTCGCGTTTTTAGTTATGTGTTGAAAAAACAAAACCACTTATATTATATACAAAACCACTTATATTATATTTGGCAGAACAAGCCACCACCTACATAGTTTTTTGTTATTTAACTCAAGCTGCCCTATTATTTTACATTATTATTTTACCATGCGTATCCCTAATACACGGCCAGAGTATGAAGCTTTTTGAATGGTTTCTGGACGCCGACGTTAGCAACATTTGCAAAATGCTGATAGGCGTTGATTGTGCTAGATGTGGCTGAGTATTTAATCTTATGGAAAATCGTTGAAATTCCTGTATATATATTCATCATATTCATCAAATATTTAAAATAAAAATAAATATTGAAGCAAATAATAAATACATGGAAATAAATTAATTGAATCATATGTACCATTTAATCAACAAACAGGAACTAGTTCACATCGTTCATTTTAATGAATACTTGCATTGTTTAGTGTGCAGTCGAACGGCACATAGCTCCACATCCCTATTAGTTTATTACAAGATTGATCATCGTTATAAATAAATTATATTGAAATAAGATAATAATTTAAACGGTTAACATCCGAAAATGTATAAACCCAGCATTTATTTGTTGTTAACATTAAGCATTTTTCTGCTTTCTTGTTCGACATCATTTGCCGACAAAAAGGCAAAGAAATATTCTCGCGAAGCAAATGACCCGCATTTTAATCAAGTGAAAGCTGAAACCTATGATCCCGACTTTAGAACATTGCAGAGACCATTTCGAATGGCCAAATTGAATTTGGTATGGGCCAAGGCACAAAATGTAAGTTTGAATATTACAAAAATATTTGGATTTTTTTTTATACATTTTTTGATCCCATTTTTATAGCGGTTGACAGAGCCCAAATTGAAGTCCCTATATATGGAACTGAAAATACAAGACAAAGAAGAAATTGCCTGGAAGCAATTAAATTCACAGCATAAAGATAAAGATGGCCTCAAAGCCGATGAGTTGCGTCGAAAATTGATAGGCATAATGAGTACATATGATTTGTTGGAACACTTCGATGAAACGGAAGATAAGGAAAAAACTAAACCCTACAAAAAATTTCATGATCCCGAAGATCGTCACATAAACAAATCTCTTTTTAAAGATAAGAAACTAAACAAGCTGTGGGAAAAGGCTGAAGTGTCGGGTTTCACTGCCGAAGAGTTGAATTCATTGAAACAAGAATTCGAACATCATCAAGATAAAGTCGATGTCTATTATAGTCTATTGGATAATCTGGGAAGTACAGTTGATGTTAATAAACATGAAAGTGAGTAGGAGAGGTGGTAATTTGTTAATAAATTAATCGAAGACATTCGTCTTTTATTTATTAATATATAATATATTTTTTCTATACTTAGATGCCGTCAATGAAGATGAATTGGATATCTTCAATACAATTTCAAATGATCCCAATGACAATGAAATACAAACACCGGAAATGATACGCGGTAAATATGAAAGCAGTATTAATGAAGTAAGAGATCATCATCGTGCCATCAAAGATCATTATGAACGTTTGGAACGTTTGGTATCATCGGGACCACACAGTCAAGATTTCATTGAACCTAAGGTTCAGGGTCTTTGGAGAGTAGCACAAAGTAGTAATTTTACCGACAAAGAATTAGCCTCGATTAAGACTGAGTTACATCATTTTGAGTCGAGACTGCTAAAGTTACGCCATTTACATGCTGAGCATGCTCTACAGAAAGAAAAATATAAGGTATGGTATTATTTAAACATTTTTCATGTCTTATTGTTTATATTTCGTATTTTATTTTTAGAATGAAAAACACAAGGATAAATCAAATCGTTTCGAAGACATGGAGGAAACGCTTAAAAAGCAAACCCGTAAAGTTGAAAAGATTCAAGAAACGATTGAGAAAACTATTTTCAGACATACTGAATTATAATTCGCTCTCTGTTCTAATTTAATAAAATAAAAAAAAAAAATGATAAGCAGCCGCAATGTCCCAAATTTAAGCCAAAATGAAACAAACTCAAGTTTTGATTAGTTCGTAAGATAACATTATCAATGTGTGAAAAATATTAATTTTGATAGAGTTGTCTATTTTTTTGTATGTATGTATAAGATTTTTCTTAATAAACAAAAATGAAGATTGTAATCTCAGTTTAAAAAATTTAAATACAAATTGATTTTTATTTTTAAATTGTAGAGATAATTTAAATTGGTACGGGAACACACACACACACACAAATAAGATGTGTGAGAAATACTACAAAAAATAAATAGCATCGAAACATTTCAGATCAAGAAGATAATTTGTATGTAGAATAAATTGTAGGAGACTCTAGACGACGTGTTTTTCTTTTCCAAAAATTCTTATAATGTTTTATATTTTAGTATAAGACATTCTAAATACTAGGACAGTTCGGAAAGTTCTTAGCCTAGCACAGAAAGCGCGTTATAAACCGAAAAAAGTTAGGTGTTTTGGAAACTTCCATCTCTGTTATGAACACATGTTAAATTCTGTTTCGATCTGGCAACTCCTTCATATAGAAACAGGTGTGCAAAAATTTAATTTTGTAATATTTTTTATGATTTTATTTATTGATTTTTTTTTAATTGTTACTTTTTATTGTTATTTAAACTTTATAACAATAATAATATTTTTAATGATTTTATTTATTGATTTTTTTAAGATTGTTACTTTTTATTGTGATTTAAATTTAAATATGAAATATGAAATATTATCAATAGGATTTCTAATGTCATTTTATTTGTTGTTTTCGAGTTAGAAATTTGTATACAATCATTTATAATATTCCTAATCGCCATAGAATAAGTATTGTGTAGATATTTTTCTTTAAAATATTTAATACTTCTATTTTTGTAGTCAGCTTCCTTTAAATTTATTAGCGAAAAATTTCGCACAAAATGTCATCTCATTCTCCAACTCTCTGTAATCCAGAATAACAATTTTTCCCCAAAGCGGATTTTTTCGCTTCCGAACTTCATAAAGCGAAAGCGAGAATGCGGAAAAATTCACTCCGAAATGTGGTTCAGAATAAGTCGAGGGGGAAGAGCGAGTAAATTCACGTGGAATTGACATCCAGAATAAGGCTGGTTGTGATTGAAATTATTTATTACAACATTTCAAATTACAGATATACTCCATTTTTAATTGAAATAAATATTTAATCATTCCATTTCTATTATTTGCGTTTTGAAAATATGATATTGGAGTTGTTTGCTTAACGCCACGATTGTGTTTCACATCGCTGGCGATAGCAGTGACAATTGTCAGTCAGATGTCACTTTTACTAATAACAATCGATAAATCGATTAGTTGACAGTCGACATAGGTATCCCTAATTAAATTCTAGTTCATTTTGATTTCATCTTTATTGGCCATTTTGTCTTGTCCTCCCATTCGTTAGCAGGTGGAACGTTTTTCAATTTTTTCAGTCGTCGATTGTTGAAGATGTGAAAATAAGGTTTCCTAAAATTTAGCACAAATAATAAGAAATTGCTTTAAATTTATAGGAAAATCATATAAAAATATAACAAAAAAGTGAGTGAATGAAAAGAATCGAAAATTGACAAGAAATGGCGATGTAAACAAATTAAAAACCTTAAGAAAATAGTGCGTGTGGCCTATATTTTTGGATTGTGACAGTGTGTGTATGTTTTTTTCTCTCGCTCTGTCACGCTTAGTCACCGCCCTGATCATTTATGCGTTTTTTTTACTGTATGATGAATTTTGGAATTGTTTATATCCGTTTTGAGAGTGTTTGTGTGCGGGAGAGATATAAATAAAAAATATAATAAATGATATATTTTTTTTGACTTTATGATAAATTGTATTTTGTTTTCTTGTTGGCACTTGCTGCTGCCCCCCTCATAGAAGCGCCTCAACGTGTGAGTCTCTATCCAGCCAAGGGTGTAATGGTCATGGGTGAGAACATAATGGACGAATTAGCATCACTGATACGCACGGAAATTCCCGATGGACGCCAAAGTCTACGCGATAGCTACACCAACCTGGAAAGGGTGGCGGATTATTGCGAGGATACCTACTACAGAGCTGACAATAAAAAGGCTGCATTGGAGGCTACCAAAAACTATACAACACAATCATTGGCCAGTGTTGCCTATCAGATAAATACCCTGGCGTATAGCTATATGCAGTTGTTGGAATTGCAGGCGCAACAATTAAGTGAAATGGAATCACAAATGAATCATATCGCACAAACGGTGCAGATCCACAAGGAAAAGGTTGCCAGAAGGTGAATATGGAAATTAGTTAAGTGTACATACACAAATATTAACATAAATTTATTTTTTTTCACTTACAGAGAAATCGGCGTTCTCACTGCTAATAAAGTCAGCACTCGTCAATTTAAGATCGTAGCGCCCATTAACCCCGAAAAGCCAATTAAATATGTACGTAAAGGCATTGACTATTCCATACTTGATGACATTGGCCACAGTGTAAACACCAATCAAACGAATCGCAATCAAAAACATCGTGGCTCTTCACATGGTTCGGTACAATCATTGGCCCAGCCAACTGTGGGTCCACCGCCGACCACAAAACCACCAACTCCACCGCAAATGTCACGTGGAAATACCGGTACATTGGGTAAATCCTCAGCAATCAGCAATACTGGTACATTGGGAAAAAGTTCACGGGAATATCGTACGCCACCTGTTGTCAATCCACCACAAGTACCATCGCATTATGCTCCCAACTATCCTATCGGTCATCCCAAACGTTTGTCGACCGCTTCGTCGAGTACCACAGCTACGGGTGTTAGTAGTACCGGTATCGGTGGTGGTGGTTCAGTAACCAATAATGAACGTGCTGCCGGTTACAGTGCCCTCCCAATGCCGCCAAGTCAACAAATTGCAACACATGTTAATTTACCATCAGCTGGTATGATGCAATCATTGCCACCACCACCACCCACGACTTATGATGATCGTAATAGTATGCCACGTAAGTGTATTTAGTAAAATTATTTTGTAACAAAATGGATATGCTAAAATTAAATTTATCTTTTTTCTTGTTATCTCTCTAGCACCACCTTCTCCATTGACGGTGCCACAACATGAAATAACTGAACAAAGTCACATTGGTATGCATACCTTGGGTCGCAATCATAATAGGTGAGTATGCAAGCATTTGTGCATGATTGTGTTCGTTTTGTTTTGTCGATGTTTTTTTTTAATGTTTTGTTTAAAATGTAAATTGTCTATTATTATTCTATTTAATGCTGCCATTTTGCAACAGAAACGGCAACAACAGGTAATTGTTTTGATAATATCCTTTATACAGCATACTAATCATATTAACAATAATGCGATAAAATTATCAATATAGGTCTGGGTTTTGACATGGCCAATTGACATCAGAATCCTGTAATCCATAATTTATACTTACCGCGAGAGGGTACCAAAAGGGAAGATAGATATCGCAATATATATGATAGAGTATTGAATTTGAATGGACATTGCTATTGCTACTACTCCAAGGATATTGGGAATATAAAATGGGATATGACTGTCCATGTTATATTATAGTTTCCGAAGAGACTGAATTTCGTATTTCGGTTTAAGAAGAAAATATTTCGCAAAAATTCTTAATATAGGTCTTGGTTTTTACATACCCTAATATAAAGGTACCGTCGACTTGTTTTGGTGGGGTAAAAATTGACCCATATATATGGCTGCCGACTTTAGATATTTTGAGCGCCGCTACTACTGATAGAGACTATATATACAGTGCGGCCAGGTCTACTTTAATTTGAAATTAAAAAAAAACAATAGTTACTAACCCTAGGATATTGGGAATATAAAATGGCATAGGTGCTGATTTTAGATATTTTCAATGCCCAGTGTTCGGTCAGGACAAACTTAAGACCGTTTTTTGTCTTTGTGCATATGTTTGTAACAGGCAAAAATAATCGAGATAGACCCATGGTTCCTTTTGAGGTTCCGTCCATGTATTTTTGTGAACAAAGTACCGGTCGAATTTATGATCCAATATGGATGAAATTTGGCATAGGTCACTTATTTGGCCCAAGGACGAACCCTATTGAAATTGAGAAAAATCATTTCAGATTTAGATATAGCTCCCATATGTATTTTTATCCGATTTAACGTAAATGGTGCACCAAAGTCCCTATATATCTCTGGATTTGCACGAAATTTGGCACAGCGTAATGAATTAGGTCTAGAATGATGTGTGTTAAGTTTCCTGAAAATCGGTTCAGATTTAGATATAGCTCCCATAAATATTTTCGTCCGATTTAACGTAAATGGTGCACCAAAGTCCCCATATATCTTTCGATTTGCACGAAATTTGGCACAGCGTAATGAATTAGGCCTAGAATGATGTGTGTTAAGTTTCCTGAAAATCGGTTCAGATTTAAATATAGCTCCCATAAATATTTTCGTCCGATTTAACGTGAATGGTGCACCAAAGTCCCCATATATCTTTCGATTTGCACGAAATTTGGCACACCGTAATGAATTAGGTCTAGAAAGATGTGTGTTAAGTTTCCTGAAAATCGGTTCACATTTAGATAAAACTTCTATATCGGACCAAATGAAAAATTTAGTATAGGTTGCATGTTTATGGATCCAATTTCATTTTACTGGTCCTTTAAAAATGCGACATCTGTTAGGATTCATCTGTTGAATATACTCAAAGTAGTGAAGGGTATCATATTGGTTACTGATGCTGATGACTGTATTTCATTTTTTTCGTTAAAACTTAGTGCAAAACTAACCAATATATGTGTGTGTGTAGTCGTCAATAATTTAGTTTAATAGAAAACTTCTAACTGTTCTAGGAACCATTTCAGCTTGAACTTTGCTAGACCTGGATCACAGTCGCCACCATTGCCGCCACCACCACCACCAGAGGAGGAACATCAAGATTTTGGACGGCCACGTACCTCGGCTGGTCAGGGACAATTGGCTCCAATAGTGCCAGAAGATCAAAATCTACCGGGATGGGTACCAAAGAATTACATTGAAAAAGGTAAGGCAATTTAACATATAAAAAATCAATTAAAATTATATAAAATTTTATTTTTTATATTTTGTAGTGGTTGCAATTTATGATTACTATGCCGATAAAGATGATGAACTTAGCTTCCAAGAAAGTTCAGTATTATATGTTCTGAAAAAGAACGATGATGGCTGGTGGGAAGGTGTTATGGATGGTGTTACCGGTTTATTCCCTGGCAATTATGTAGAACCATGTGTTTAAGGTATACACACACAATTGTTCCCACATAGGTTTTTTATACAACAAAAAAAGAATATTAAGAAAAATTTACAACAACAACAAAGCAAGTAACAGCCTTTTTCAAGAATTCCATATAATAATAAAAAATAAATAACCACAAACATACCCACAACAACAAACCACAAATAATTTAGATACATTTATTATTATTAATGGTAATAGGTATTGTTAACAATAACACAAACAAACAACCATTCATACATACATATACATATATAAAAGAAAAAGTAATCAAGTCTGCCTCCAAAAAAGAAAAACTTTAACAACAAATTGAAAATAGAACGCTGTATAAACAAACATCAAAACAGAGTCTTACGTTCATTGAAAGAAAAACTCATACAAAAAACGATGACAAACACTGGATGTTGTGTTTAATCAGGAAAATAAATTAACAAAAAAATAATTATATATTAACATTTTTTACAATAACAATTTTCTACGCCAAGAGAAAAAACCAAAATAAATTAAAAAAAATGTTTATTCATTTCTTTTGAATAAACCCAAGTGCATATGAACACACTCACTGAACAACAACACAAAAGACGACGATGACAACAACCTAATTCCTACTCTCTCCCATAGCTAATTAAACTATTAAGCCCATTATATTAAAAAAATAATAAATAAAATAAATACAACAAACAAATGTATTGTCATACAAACGAATCATTAATAAATAAAACATTTCTAACAGAAAAATAAATACCAATAAAAAAACATAAAAATTAACATAATAGAATTTCAACAATAACAGAACATGTAGCTTCTTTAATTACACACAACACTCAACAAGATATTGGCAATATCTTACTTTATATCAATTGTTTTATTCAAACAATTTATTTAAATTTATTGTTGTTTAAAAATTTAGAACGCTACACTAAAACAAACAATTAAATCATGCCGATATTGCATTTGTTTGTTGTTTTATAGAATATATACTATATTCTATACAATAAAAAGTATTCTTTATATATGTCTATATGTGTTTAGCGCCATTTTTTATAGCTATTGCTTTTACTATTATTAAATTAACACTAACATTTATTTTTCAATATATCATAACTACAACAATGATAAAAAAAACAAAACACAAGGAAAACATTTCCAAAATCTGTAGGGTATTTAATTTTCTTTATATGTAATACATTTTGTGTGCATTGCTTTTCGCTTTAAAAATGTCTTTATTGAATACTTTTTTTTTTGGGAAAAACCAAACACATAAAAATTTTGGAAATAATTTTATTTTTAAAACTTAATAATAACAAAAACACACGGTTTTTTATATTATAAACACACAAACACATTATTATATATATTTGTATTATTTTGAATTTAGTTAAACTCTAATTTCTTTTTTTTGCCCATAAATATAATAGTCATAATATCGAAATCTAAAATAAAACGAAAAAATCATGATTATAAGAGTTGAAAAGAAATGATTAGTTAATAAAAATTATATTCTATTATGATGCTACATAATATATGGTTTTCTTTTTTGATATATAATTTTTATAGGTCGTTGAAAATTTTTATTTAAAAAATCACGGTAGTCTTTGAAAATTCTTTTTAAAAAATCCACGCTTTTGCGGCTAAGAGTCCTTGAAAATTCTTCCTTAAGAAATCCATGATTTTAGGGCTAAGAGTCCTTGAAAATTCTTCTTTAAAAAATCCACGCTTTTGGGGCTGATACATTGAAAAGTCTTCTTTAAAAAATCATTATTAGCTATAACTTCTTGAAAATACCCCCAATTACCCTTGAAATTCTTCAGACACCTGTTTGGCGTTTTCATTCCATACTTTATTATTATTAATTTTTTTAATGCTTACTTAATAAATATACTATCTTTAAATAACAAGCTTCATCTTTCGATAGTTAGAGAGAGACAATTTCGGAATTTCCCTGAGCTACTGAGCATTTAAACGCGAGGACAGCCGTCATATATTCAGAATAAACATTTAAGTAGTAGTAGAACTGGTATCGTAATCCTATGCGCATCTATTTCTTCATTTTCATAATTCGTTTGCTGGCTCCCACCGTTGCGGCCAGTTTAGGCAATCGGGAATGTACCGCAGGACCCATATGACGATCTGGATTATCTTGTAAGAGGCTGTCAACTGAGGCTGAGGCTGCCAATTGTCCACCATCAATGGGTGGTAACGGCGACGAGGGTGACCATTCGGAACCCGAACTTGAACCAGGTGAATCGGAGCTGTAATGTGAATGAATTATTTGTAAAATATTTTCAAGTTGTAGTTGTAAATATTTAAGAGTACCCGGCTGTGTATATGGGTGGTAATTTCCGTTCGTAGGCTGCCGTTGCCGTCACTGTGCCTGCATGAATTTCCTGTTGATATAAACCATATAGTTCTCGCAGCTCATCGGGTAATTCGACATTTCCTTCTTCTATCAAACGTCTTTGCGAACTAATGATATCTGTGGGGAATATATGACCATATGTAATAATAATGTAAAAAAGGTGCTATAGGCGACATACCTTCACATAGTCTTCGTTGTCTTTCGGCTCTTAACAGTTGTAAATCTCTTCGTCTCAATTCTGCTTGTCGGGCCAGTCGTTCGGCTTGCAATGATACCTTGTCGGCTTCTAATTCATGAACCCGACAGAGTAGAGCAAGTAATTCACGTTCCTCGTCACTGCTAATTCGTTCGGGTAGTTCCTGAAATAAAATAATAGATATCCTTGAAAAATCTTCTTTAAAAAATCCACGTTTATTGGAGCGATAGTTCTTAGAAAATCTTCTTTAAGAAATCCATGCTTATTGGACCGATATTTCTTAGAAAATCTTCGTTAAGAAATCCATGCTTATTGGACCGATAGTTCTTAGAAAATCTTCTTTAAGAAATCCATGCTTATTGGACCGATAGTTTTTAGAAAATCTTCTTTAAGAAATCCACGCTTATTGGACCGATAGTTCTTAGAAAATCTTCTTTAAGAAATCCACGCTTAGTGTACTGATGGTCCTTGAAAAACTTCTTTAAGAAATCCACGCTTAGTGTACTGATGGTCCTTGAAAAACTTCTTTATGAAATCCACGCTTAGTGTACTGATTGTCCTTGAAAAACTTCTTTAAGAAATCCACGCTTAGTGTACTGATGGTCCCTGAAAAATCTTCTTTAAAAAATCCTCGCTTATTGGATTGATAGTCCTTTGAAAATCTTCTTTAAAAAATCCACGCTTATTGTATTGATAGTTCTTAGAAAATCTTCTTTAAAAAATCCACGCTTATTGTATTGATAGTTCTTAGAAAATCTTCTTTAAAAAATCCACGCTTATTGTATTGATAGTTCTTAGAAAATCTTCTTTAAGAAATCCACGCTTATTGTATTGATAGTTCTTAGAAAATCTTCTTTAAGAAATCCAAGCTTATTTTAGCGATAGTTCTTAGAAAATCTTCTTTAAGAAATCCACGCTTATTGGACCGATAGTTCTTAGAAAATCTTCTTTAAGAAATCCACGCTTATTGGACCGATAGTTCTTAGAAAATCTTCTTTAAGAAATCCACGCTTAGTGTACTGATGGTCCTTGAAAAACTTCTTTAAGAAATCCACGCTTAGTGTACTGATGGTCCTTGAAAAACTTCTTTAAGAAATCCACGCTTAGTGTACTGATGGTCCTTTGAAAATCTTCTTTAAAAAATCCACGCTTATTGTATTGATAGTCCTAGAAAATACATCTTTAAAAAATCCACGCCTATTGGACTGATAGTTCTTAAAAAATCTTCTTTAAATAGTTACACGCTTTTTGGGCTGAGAGACCTTGAAAAATCTTCTTTAGAAAACCCGCTTATTGGGCTGATAGTAATTGAAAATTTTTCTTTAAAAAATCCACGCCTATTGGACTGTTAGTCTTTGAAAATACTTCCTTCCACGCCTATTGGACTGATAAACACTTCTTTAAAAAATCCACGCTTATTGGACTGATAGTCCTTGTTCTTTAAAAAATCCACACTTAATGGAAAAATCTTATTTCAAAAAAATCTACGCCTTTTGGGCTGGTAGTTCTTTAAATATATTCTGCAAGAACCCTTGAAAAAATATTCTTTCCAAAAGCTTACATCTTCCAATTGCACTCCTTTCTGGCGACACAATTCTAATTCCTGTTCAGTTCGTTCGCGTATCTCTTTGTAACGCCGTGTTTCCTTTTCAATGGCCGCCAATTCGCCCCAGGCATTTTTCAAGGCAATAGAACCCTCCGATTCAACTTCTGTGGAGAAAAAAAAAACAAAATATTATTACCGAACTGCAATTCCACATATTCCAACTTACCATCATCGGTGGGGGTATCATACAATTTACCCATACGACCCTGCCAATGTGAAATGATCATATGTTGGCGTTCTGCATCCAATTCTAAACCCAGCAAATGCGATTCAGCCTCTAATAATTTTCGTCGCAGTTTCATTTGTTGCTTAAAGGTCAGCACAATCTGTTCTCTCAAATATCGTAATTCACTTTTACGCTTCTCATCATCTTCGGCACTGTTTGCGGCCGTTGCCGAGGATTGATCCTGTTGTGCTTGATCACTGCCGGCTGCTGCTTTGGCAGCTTCATTAGCTGCCGCTGCACCACTTCTCGGCCGATCTGATAACATTTTATTGCGCAAACGCGAAACCTCTTCGCGCAGTTCAAACACCAAATGTTGATAATGTTTAGTGGGGAAATTCTGCAGTTCATCTACATAGACGGAATTCTGCAGACGTGTTGTAATACTATTGGCTCGATCAGCATAGACCAGGGTATTTTTCGTCTCATCACGATGTTTACTCTCCGGTGCAATGTGTGCAATCATAACGGTTTTGCAGCGACCACTTAGGGCCTCTTTGAGAAGACGTGTCAATTTCGAGTCACGATAATTAACATAACGTGCCCCACCCGACAGAGCATTAATGCAATTACCCAAGGCGAGCAGGGAGCGATTTATGTGGGCACCCTCCTGTAAACGTTTACCACGATTTTTAGTTTTCTTAGCTCTTTCTGAACCCGCCAAATCTGTGAGAAAGAGGCGACCCTGTTTTATACCCAACGAAGTTTTTGTCTGTACCGTAATGCTGAGCAGGGCATGGCTGCGTGAGGATGTTTGATTAGCTGCCGTGGGTTCCATGGTGCGCGCCTTATTGCCTTTCATTAGGAGGGATACAACTTCTTTGCGACTCGATGTGGTAATTTCCGACAGGCCCGCTACAGTTATGCGCTGACCTCGATTATCTTCACGCAATTCGAGTGGCCCACCCGGATTCAAGAGATCACGTATCAATTCATTGTAGATTTCCAAATATGAAATGGAAACCTGGAAAATATATTCATTGGTAAATAGATTTATTACATACATATAGAATATGTGTACATTTGTTGTTTGTGTATTTGTTATAACGTACCTTACACGATGCCGGATCTTCAGACATTTCTATATACTGGAATATTTCTTCTATTGCTCTGACCATTAGACCACTGTCATTTGTGGGCCCATCCGCTTCGGGTGTTGTACCCTTTTTCCTGGATGGTCCCAGCATTGTGTGTGTTTTTCCCGATCCGGTTGCACCATATGCAAAAACCGCTGCATTATAACCTTTAATAACATCTTGAACTAAAGGTGCAGTGGTAGCTTTGTATACCATTTCCTAAAAAGATGAAATTAAAAATTTAGAAAGAAATGAGTTTATACGAAAGCAGAATAATCCTTAAGAAACAGAGGTACACCACAGAGTGGGTTGGGAAGTTTGATCAGCAATAGAAACTGGGAACTTGGGACCACACATCATGCACTTGTTACCATTGTGGGATCCCAAATCTTCAAGCATATTGAACTGATAGTCCTTTAAAAATTCACGCTTATTGAACCGATGGTCCTTGAAAAAAATTCTTCTAGCAAATCCGCGCTTATTGGATTGATAGGAGTGCAATGATATTCCCGGTAAGCAGAGAATCCTTAACGAGTGGACTTTTTAAAATCCTTAAAATCCAGGCTCATCGAACTGATAGACATTGAAAAGTATTCTTTAAAGGATCCACCATGATTGTGGTTCTTGAAATATCTTCTTTAAAAATCGACGCGAATCGGAATGATAGTCCTTGAAAAAATCCTTGAAGTATTCTTTAAAAATCCACGCTCATTGGACTGATAGTCCTTGAAAACCTTCTTAAAAAAATACACACTTTTTGAGCTGTGAGTCCTTGAAAAATCTGCTTTAAAGATCCACGCTCTTTGAGTGATAGTCTTGAAAAATCTTCTTTAAAAATATACGCTCTTTAGTCTGATAGTCCTTGAAAAATTTTGGCTCCTTGAAAAATGTTGACTCTTTGGACTGATAGTCTTTGAAAAATCTTCTTTAAAAAATCCAGGCTTATTGGATGGATGGACCTTGGTTTTTTTTTTAAATCCACCCTCATAGGACTGCTAGTCCTTGAAAATTCTTCTACAAAAATTCAACCTTATTGGACTGATAGTCCTTGAAAATCATCTTTAAAAATCCACGCTTTAAAAATCCAGTGATAATTGTTGAAAAAAATTCTTATTGCAAAATCCACGCTTATTGGGTTGATAGGAGTGCATATATATATATATATATATATATTGTTGAACATCAGGTCACAGTGATATTATAGGGAATGAAATAGCCGAAGATCTTGCTCGAGTTGGTTCAGAGAAAATTAATATTATGGTTGATGCTACTATTAAACTATCTGTTAGCTATTACATTGGTGGAAACCGTAGTACCTACTTCGAGAAAGCTTGAAGCATGAACTAGATGGCGTGGGGAACATGAATGCAGAACCTCATTGATTTTTCTCGGTAAGAAATAGATGCAACTAACTGAAGGAATTAGAACAAGTCTCTTCAGAATTAGATCTATCACATCCAAGTGGTTAATTTATGAAGTCGATTACTGTCGTCTATACGAGGATGTAGATGTGACAAAAACAATCGAACATGTAGATGGCCAATACTTCGCACCAGCAGACATCGGCTTTTGCCAAATACGAGATATCATCATTTACATCGTTCCTAAGCTCAAATTTTCTCTTTTTTTCCTTTTTCTTTTCGGGCTCCTGAATGAAGCGACAGCTACTATGATAGCCACGCATTCTTTAACCTAACCTATGTAAGTTTGGTATTAAACATTGTATATAGTAATACTCTCTATTTTCGGTATTTTTTCAGCTGCAATTTTCAAAAGGTTATGAATGTAAATGACTCATCAATTCGATTTGTGAGACCTTGTTGCAATATTATAAAATTTCTCCGAACTGAGTTACAAGGCCCAACATTCAAAATGTGAGGGAGTTATCAACAAAAAGTTTTATGTTTTTATACCCTTAACCACACTGTGGTAGAGGGTATTATGTCTTTGCGTATATGTTTTAGAATATGCATAGTATCACTTTCTGTGTCGATTAATGCCTGTCCCTCTGTCCGTTCGTCCTGTCTGTCCATGTTAAATTGTAAACTAAGTACAAGTCGTATTTATTTTCCGAATGAGATGAAATTTGGCACAGATCATTTATTTGCCCCAAGGACGAACCCTATTGAAGTTGGTGAAAATCGGGTCAAATTTATTTATAGCTCCGATATAATTATTTTTTTTGCGATTTTTAGCAAATGGTGCATCCCATTGTACCAAATTTTACCTAATTCGTTTGAATAGCGTGCTCACGAACTCCAAAATATCGAAAATTAGAATTTCAACTGCTTGCAGACAAAAAAAAAACAACTTTAAGAATAGTTTCGATGAGTTATAAACGGAAAAACAAATTTAATATACCTCCATGCTATGGTGGAGCGTATACCAAATGTACCAGGTTATTGATTATAGGGTTAAGTCGGTTCACATATAGACGCAGTTCACATATTTAATTTGGTCCAATTTGATGTCAATGGTGCTTCAAAAATGCGAGGTATGTTAGGCCCAGCCTTTCGAATGCCTTTGGAATTTTGGATTCGGATTCGGTCATCGAGAAGAAGGACATTGAGCGGAGTAGTACAACTACCACTGAAAACTATTTTTTTTTTGTGGAACTATATTAACATTGATCATAACCGGAACATCATGTAAATTTTTAAAGCGATTGGCGAGACTTTTACGGCCTCCGAGGACACACAAACATATAAAGAGCATTAATTGAAAGTTCCTATGTCCTTTAGGAGGAAATACGCCATAAAATGAAAATTTTGTAATTTTTCATACAAAAATGTTGGTCAATGTCCACCGATCATCATCAAAACACTCATGCTTATTCCATGGTAAGACCCCTTTATCTGTGTAAAATTTTGTGATGTTCGGGTCCTAATTATGGCTTATAGAGCGACCAGAAAAACATTCACTAATAAAGTTTTTGGTCCATTTCATCTCCAAAATATTAAACGATGATTGCGAAAAAAATAAGTGCCTTCTTAAGCCAGAACCCGTCCTACTCAGCTAGTCGAGTTATGGTAAAATAAAAGGTGTGTCTAGGACCAATATTTGACGTTACAAACAAAATGGACCTTTTTCGAAATTTTTCGAAATAGCTTGATCCGGGTATTTTTAAGGTTTTATAAGCATATCTCTAATATTTACAATAATTTTTCGGTAAAGGTTCATATTTCGACATAGATCCAATATAAAGAAGTTCCTTCCTCATTTTATGTATTCTAAAGTTTTTAGCTGAATTTCCATACCGAATTTGCAATAATTTGCAGAAGATTTTCCATATAGATTCAGTTTTCACAGACGTGTCCCAGACGGGTCCCAACTTCGTACTTGATCTAGGCTTTGTAAAGATAATAGGTTGTCCAAAGTTTGGTTTAAATCGGATTTTCTATTCTCCTGAAAGAGTACCAGAAATAGTGAACAAAGGGGTCACATCTTCGGACTTAATCTATATAATAGCTAGTGAAAAGTTTGGTTCAAATTGGACATTCCATTCGCTGATATTGGATTTGTAAATTTTGACCCTTAGTCAGGTAGGTAGCAGAAGGTGTGGATCAATGGATCCCATCTTCGGACTCGATCTGTGCTTGGTAAAGATATTAGGTTGCGCAAGGTTTGGTTCAAATCGAACATTCCATTTGCCGGATATTGGATTTATAAATATTGAAAATGTTGACCCTTTGTGGGGGAGGTACCAGAAGGAGTGGACCAGTGGACATAACCTAGGCTTAGATACTAGGTTTTGTAAAGTTTGGTTGAAATCGGATTGTATGTTCGCCTAATATATTAAAAGACATTATAAACAAAATTTAGACCATTTTGTGTGGGAGGTACCACCACGGTTACGGTTACTCTCTTTGAGAGTTATCGTGCGCACAAACCGGCCAGACAGACGGAAGGGCATTTGTAAATCGATTCCAAATTTAAAGAAACGAATTTCCTCAAAAAAAAAAAAAAGAGAAACATGGTGTCTAAAACTAATATTTCGATGATATATATTTTTGGCGTATCAAATTGTACAGCCATAAGGCTGAGGGAATAAAAATAACTTGAAAATCACATGACAACTTACCTGTGTATCGGATTCTTTGAAAACATAATCATAAGAATATTTTCGCGCTTTACCCCTACCGCCATCGTCGAAGAGCAGTGAAGTTGGTGAAATAACTTCAATACAACGTTCACCATTATCGAATGAAGGACGGACACGGACAGCAACCTGCAAATATAAGAAATATATAAATAAGGGAATCACACCCACAAACAAAACAAAATATATTACAAGACAAACCAAAAACATGGAAAAAACCCAAGAAATTTGTTTATCAAGAAAAAAAAACACAAAATAAAGTTTTTTTATTGATTCGTATCGTTCGTCCGTCCATCTGTCATCTTGTTGGACAAACAAAGTGAATCAATATAGAGTTACCACACAGGCCACGCTGTGTAGTGACATAAGCCTACCAAACACTTCACTTACCAACAACCGTTCCTCTTGGGGTGGTGCTGTCGTTAAACCTCTACTTTGTGAAGTTGATGAACCGCTGCCACTGCCGCTAGACCAAGTTCCGCTGTGTGCCATTGTCCGCTACGAAATGTCTGCACTTAATGACGCGGCGATTTGATTTGAATTTATCTGTAGTTTTTGGTTTTTTGTTTTGATGACTTCTTCACTCGTTTTCTGTAAATGAAAGGTTTGTGTTTATTTAAGGAAATCGTTTTTTGGGATATTTTTACACATTCCATCTCAAGGGCAAATGGAATTTGTTGAGGGCTTAAGGCTCAATTCGGTAAATCGAACCACTTAATGGTCTGCTTACAATTAGTGGTCGTTCACTCATTAGGGGGCGTCCATTTGTCAGTAGTCGATTAGTATTTGTATTTGAATTCGAATTGTATTGTAATTGATTAGTTTTTAGTTTCTGGGTAAATTATTGTCTCACTCGTTTTTTTCGTTACATTATTTCGGGTGTATTTTGTGAATAAAATAAATGGAAAGAACTTTTTTCAATACAAATACATTTCTTGAAGTAAAACAACATTTACTTTAAGAAATGTATTTGCATTTAAAAATTGAAACTAAGTACATCAATGAGTATGATTATTACGGTAGTGTATACGCTACGGGTTTGGGTACATTTCTTGCCCTCCCCCATGACGTGGCCTTTCAAAGTACTTAAAATCGGTATTTATATGACAGTAATTAACAAAATAACAAAGTTTGGGTGATGTGCCAAAAAGTTATAATTTTTGGTAGGAAGATATGAGAACCCAAAATATTAGGGCCAATTCGGAAAAAATACGTGCAAAAATCCCCAAAACACCGAATAATGGAATAGTGTAAATTACTATCCATTCGGTTGACAAGCATGTCCACCTTATGTTGGAGGGTATAAAAAGTATTAAATTATATGTGAAACGGGTGAAGCTGCATTCTCGAAAGTTCCATAGCTAATTAAAGTCTACGTTTTTATATCCTACACAACTATGTTGTCAGGGTATTATAGTTTTGTACAACCCCAAGAGATTGTAACGTTTTGTAAACCCAATACAGGCCACAGTTATGGACTAATCGTCACGAAATTTTGCACGTAGGACGGGTTCTGACCAAAGGGGGTGAAAGGGGATGAAATGGACCAAAAACTTTATATTTGTCTGTTTTCTTGTCGCTCTAGAGACCACAATCACGAAATTTTAAACAGAGAATGGGGTCTGACCACAGAATAAGCATGATTGTTTTGATGAAGATCGTTAATATTAAATTGGTCAAATGGACCCATACTTTTGTGTGAAAAATTACAAAATTTGTATTCTGGGGGTTACTCCTGAAGGACATAGACTCGATAAGTTGATAGCATATTCAAAAATAAGGACTTTTCTTTAATCCCATAAAACAACAATAAAACCATTACCAATAAAATTTTGTAAATTATTGTTCCTTTCCTTTAAATCTTCAAATATATATCTGCAAAGTTGCAAACCTTAACAAGCTTTGGTATTGATTTACCAGCCCATTGAAAATTTAAAATCGACAATTGGAGGGGTTCCCTTAAATTGATACCAATTATATTGTTTATGTACTCCGATGTGGGAGTTATAAGTAAATATTTAAAGCTGTATACGTCACTAGAGAGCGGAAATGTTGCGTTGATCGCTTTGAAATTTTACACGAAGCTTCGGTTATGGACAAGGACGACGCTTATAATGTTGAGATGATAGTTTGGGACAGCAAAACTTGATTTTTGTCAGATTTTTTAGTCTCTCTATGTCATTATTATATGCAGAACATCATATATTTTGAAGGGGATCTGACCAAATACTTAGAACGGTGATGTTCGGTCAATATTTCGAGTGTCAAATCAACCAAAACTGTAAGTGACAACATTTTTATATTATGGCGTAAATATTCACATCGGGTAAACAATATTTACAAAAAAAAAAATATATATATATATATATGCAATGGTAGGAAGGATGAGTTGTTGACCTCTAATCGGTCAAGGGAGTGCAAATATCGCGAAATATTGTCCCCACGTAATTAGCACACATCTGAAAGGAAAAGTGTTTTGATTAACCCTTGAATCGTTTGGAATATTTTTAAATAGTTTTTTTTTATTGAAAATGCTTATGTGTGCTGTACTTGATCGATTGAGTGTGAGAACAGAAAATTATCAATGGAAATTTGTGATATATAACGGTATTTATGAAACAAGTCAAATTTGAGGGGGACACCTAATTAGCACATCTTGAAATTTTTATATTAAATGTCTTCGATATTAAAAAATATACATATAAAACTACTTTGTGTTAACAAATTAAGTCTGATGAATGATTTTGAGAAGAAAAAGTAAAAAAATCTGTAATATCTAATTAAATTGGCAACAATTCGTACTGAAAACCTAAAATTGGAAAAGCCAGCCTTTGTATAAAAAAAGAAGCGAATGCCCCAGAAATTGCTAGAATAACTAGAGATCGATAAACATTTATAAAAATAAACAAAATTTTGAAATAAAAACTCAAAATTTAGAAATTCACTTGAAGGACACGTTAGACTTCGAAAGGCTTCGAGGAAGAAAACCAGTATATTTTTGCATTATGTGACGAAATATCAATTGGTAATGACATTTGATATATAAAATCAGCTGTTTGAGTAGAACAAAGAAGAATTTTATAAAAAAAAAAAAAAAAAAAAAAAAAATTATAATTTATAATTCCGAATTTACACGAAATTAGGTAGTGTCCATAGATATATGCGTTTTTTTGTGCAAGGATCGGGTAAACGTGGAAGAGGACTTCGAAAACATACGAATATCGATTTCTTGCCTTTGAAGAATTCATATGGGTGACATTTTTGTAGAGAATTTGGAGGTCAAAAAATTGTCTTGTGTTAGTTGGCACGCCACTCGAGATATATGAAGAAAAATTCCTCATTCGATTTAACTGAAGACATGCCATCTTAAAAATAACCAGCAATCTTGAATAATTTTTTTAACTGGAATGTTGACAAATATTTAGGTCCATTTGGTCGTAAATATTGAAAAAAGTGAATTATTTTGTGACTCTCACATGTTCAAGAATTCCATGTCGGGGTATTCCGGCAACTTTTTCTTAACATGTTCTTTATTAATTACAAAAAAACATTCAAGCAATTCACTCTCAAATCTCAATTAATTTGGCAATGCAGAAACTATTTGATAAAGAAGCATGTTTTGATAACTTGACTATATTTTGAAATTCTAAGTTCTTATTAGTTATAAAACGTTTTCTCTGAAAATTTTCTATATTGGTATATATTTGCAATATAAATCTGTCGACTTGAGGACGTGTGGTGTGTCCTCAAAATTACTTAAGTCTTCATATGCGGTATACAAAAGTTCGACGATGTTTTCCGTTGTTGTGGTCTCCTTGGATAATTTTCACGTTCGAATACGTTTTCACTTTATTACAACTTATTCTAAAAATAATGTTTCAATTACAATTTTGGCTTCCTTTACTCAAACAATTTAATATTCAATTTTAATAATTATTTGCATAGTAAAGTTTTAGGTTCGCACCTTCAAATTACTGATATGAATTTCTTCTATAAACCAATAATGTGTTATTATTTGAATTATTTATTAGCGAAAAAATAACTATGGATCTGCATGTCTATGGTAGTTTGGTAGGCTTGAGTGCCTACGTGTAGGAGGCTCCTCAAACACAAATTGTAGGACATACTTCAATTAAAAAGTTCATTTTATCCACTTCGATATCTTCGTTTATTATTTAAATTATATGTCGCCACTGTCAATATTTACACTTTGGCTGTTGCGGTCGGGTTTGATGATGTTAACGATGACACCGTTGCCTCGCCAATAATCATTATTTTTGTCAATACTTTGTATGTAGGGGGGAATAATGTGGTTCAATAATTGTTTTATTGAAAATGGGGATCAGAGGATAGAGATTAAGGGTGAAATCGGGGGCCTTTGGAAGTAGAACATTTAATAAAACCAATGGGAAGAAATTGAATAATTTGTATTTTTATATTTTCTTGAGCAATAAATATCATCTATTGTTATACCCTACACAACTATGTCGTCAGGGTATTATAGCTTTGTGGAGCCCCAAAAGTTTGTAACGCCGCGAAATATTGGTCATAGACCCACCTTTAAGTATACCGACAGTCATATCTCGACTAGCTGAGTCGATCTAGACATGTGTGTCCGTCCGTTTGTCCATTATAATTTGTAAACACGATACAGGCCACAGTTATGGACCAATCTTCACGAAATTTTGCATGTAGGATGGGTTCTGGCCAATGAAGACCCCTATTTGGAAAAGATCGGTTAATATTTAGGGGATGAAATGGACCAAAAACATTATTTTTGTCGGTTTTTCTGGTCGCTCCAGAGGCCGCAATTATGGCCCAAACACCGCGAATTTTTGCATGGAGAAACGGATTTGGGCAGAGAGTAAGCATGCATGTTTTGATAAAGATCTGTTATTATTTAGCGGGTCAAATGGACCCCGACTTTTGTGTGAAAAATGACAAAATTTGTATTCTATGGCGTATATGTTTACTCCCGAAGGACATCGACCCGAGATGTTGATATTATATCCAAGAGGAGTGGTTGACCTTTAAATTGATACCAATTATATTGTCGCATGTACTCGGATGTGGGAGATACACTTAACTAGTTACAGGTGCTTACGTATTTATATAGTATTCAGAAACCCATTACCACACTAGAGGGCCGAAATATAGCGCTGATCGCTTTCAAATTTTCCATGAGGATCCAGGTATGGTCAACTACTACGGCTATAATTTTCGGGAATGATCAGATACTAATTTTGGGATGAATTGGACTGAAAAGTTAAAATTTTGGTATTTTTTTGAGTCGATATATAGGCCACAATTGAAAGCCGAACATCACAACCCAACCCACCGTGAAGGGAATCTATGTTAGATTTTCGTGGAAGTTGTGTTGGGTATCATATGGTCGGTCCCGTCCGACTATACTGCTCCGCTCACTGGTTTTCATAAATGTTTATGGCAGGATATTTTCATATATAAAGGCGGAGAAACCGTAATTCAAATAG